AGTTTGGCCGCAGCTGGATGAGGCAACTTCAAATTCAGATCTGTGGTCATGTTTTAGGCCTTCAGGCACTTTGTTTTAGGCTCAAGCATGTTCAAAAAGCCTGAACTGCTTTTTAAATGAGAGGCAGCCAATTAGAACAAAGGTCATTTACCTATATCATTCTTAAAGGCATAGACAGTGTAAAGGTGAACTCTACCTATGTTTCAAAAAAATCTACATTATTAAACAGTTGAGATGTAAACAAAGCCACTCAGAGTGGTTTGGTGTAAAATGCTCCGTACTAGAGAAACTTGCCGAGTCTAAGTTCTTCACAGTGGTGGTGATAGGAACCAGACATCCACCAAATGTTGCACAGTTTGGCCGCAGCTGGATTCAAAATCAGATCTGTGGTCATGTTTTAGGCCTTCAGGCAGTTTGTTTTAGGCTCAAGCATGTTCAAACGTCTGTCTCTCCCCGAAATTGAGCCTCAGCTGCCAGACTTTGTCCCTAAGCACTGAGAAATGCTTCCTTGCTGGCATAACAGTGGTGGTCTGAAGACTCACCTCTTTAGGCAGGACAGTATTGCACTCATTCGCACTTAAAGGGCGCATATTATGGACATGTGAAATGAAGATTTGATGTAGTATGCAAAAGTTTAAAAACATTATATTAACTTCCAAGTCCATACAGTCCATATACGAAAACTAACCTGCTCCTTTTGAATTCGTTGTTTTTGTGATGTCACAAAAGCCAAAGCATTTCAATATCAAGCCTATGGCACTTTAGCTCCACCCATACACACTGGTTGAGATGTAAACAAAGCCATTCAGAGTGGTTTGGTGTAAAATGCTCCATACAAGAGAAACTTACTGAGTCAGAATTGTTCACAGTGGTGGTGATAGGAACCAGACGTCCACCTCTAAAAGCTCCCTCACAGAAAGTTATGACATGTAATGGTTATGAATTCACTGCCTGATGTCTGAGAGATTGTTTCATTACAGTTTGTGATAAAGTTTTGGCTTAAAACGTATTTGAATCCTTTTATTTTAATACATTCATGGCGGAGGTGTACACACAGGGCATTATGAGGCAAAATAGTCCCCACAGAAAACTTATTATTTTTTAGATTTATGACTATTTTACCATTATCTACACTGCACAGATAAAAACTCAGAAGACATGGGAAGGTTCACTGGTGGTTTCGGATCGTAAATAAATGGCTGTGTTTGTGTTGTAGACATGGTGACGCCTGGTTCCTATCATCACCACCACTGGAAAGAAATCAGAGTCAGTTTCTCTGCAGTGAACCTTTTCACACATCAAGAAATTTTGAAACATTGGTGGAATTCCCCTTTAAATCTAAGGGATAATATTCACTGTGCTGTAACTACCTCATACCACTTAGTGCAAAACCTGCTCTCATGTAAATACAACAAATCTGTCTTATATGCTATGTAAATATGCAATAGATATACTTTTATTCCTACCCTCTCATAGTTTAGTTAATTTATGTCTATTTTTCTGTTTCCGCCTAATTTATGTCTGTTTTTATTCCTATTTTATTTCTGCCTAATGTATGTAAGTATGTGCAATTATATGTCTTGCTGCTGTAACACTACAATTTCCCTTTCAGGATCAATATAGTTATATATTGAGATATCTATCTATCTGTCTATCTATCTATCTATCTATCTGTCTGTCTATAAAGAGAGGTTGAAAAAAGGGTTATGTAGAAATGAATTATGACTGTTTGTGGTACATAAACCTGCACAAATATCATAAGAACAAATGCACTTAAATGCATTTAATTCATTCTCCTTAGTGTGTTTTCTTGTATTTATTTAATTAAATAGGTCAATGTAAATATTGTATTGAATTGTCTTGCACTTGTGTTCCTGTGTTGGTCCTGGAGGAATGTTGTTTCGTTTCACTGTGTACTTGTATGCGGCTGAAATCACAATAAAGCCTTGACTTGACTTGAAGCTGATAAGGTTCTTTTCTCCTATAGATTATAAATTATAGGTTATACTTTCTTACAGTATCTCCAGGTACTTTGCATGGCTTTTCTACTGTTTGTAACTGTGTGTGTAAACAGTGTAATAAATGACTAAATGGAAATGGAAATATAAAATAATTTTGTGCAACGTCTCTCCTGTTCAGTTTTTGCTTGACATCGTAACAACAGCAGAACCCTTTTTTGGTGCTATATAGAACCATTTACAAAAAGCCATTCACAACACCTTCTCCATCAATACGAAGAACCAGTTAATTATGCAAACTGTGTTCAATTATGCAGTGTGTTAATGGTTCTATATAGAACCCTTGTCTTTACTAAAGTACCCTTGAAGAACCATCTTTTTTAAGAGTGTAACTAAAGGTACCGAAGATGTACCCTTGAGAGTACCGCCACCAGTTTGGTCCCTTTTTTTCTGAGAGTGTGGTGCTAACAAGGGTTCTTTACACAAAGCCATAGAAGAACCACTTTTGGTTCCCTAAAAAAACTTTCAATGGATCGTCCTTTAGAGAACCCTTTTAGTAAATGAGATGTGAATGTGAAGAGCCTTTTTGTAGTTTAAAGAACCTCCACATGATGTAAAGGTTCTAGGAAGGGACACTTAATTTGGTATAGAACCTTAACATCATGAAAGTTGAGTTCTTCACACTCAAACATATCTATTTTTCAAACAAGGTTCTTTGAGGAATAAAGAGGGGTTCTACCAAGGTATCAGTCAGGGAATGATTTGTGGCACTTGTTCTTTAAGAATTGCATCTTTTAAAGCCAGCAAGCTGCACCATGCACACTGCTAATGGAACCCCACCATCTGCTCAGTGAGAGAGAGAGAGAGACAGAGAGACAGCGAGAGAGAGAGAGAGAGAGAGAGAGAGAGAGAAGCAGGTTCTCAGTATTTTCCATATTGGGCTCTTGGAGATAATCCATCAGGACTGACAGGCAGAGAGAAAGTGATAGTTTGGATATCACAGCCAGCTCTCCTACACAAATAAATCCACTGATTACCGCCTCACACACTCGGCTCTGCACACCAGAACACTGTCACACACTGTATCACCACCGGCGCTTGCCCATCCTACTAATTCTGGGCTTGATCATTTATAAATCACGCTAAACATTCACTAATGAGAGGACAAACTTACTTAGGCTAACAATTCCTGACTGTATTTACCTCCCTTCATTTCCTCCACTCAGGGCTCTGTATGCTAAATACAGCGTGCTACTTCCACATATGCCATTCTGTATTAAACCTGCTCCTTCTGGATTTACTGAACATGCAGATTAATTAAATTAGTAACCAAAGTAACCTCAAACAACGGTGTAATGCTACATACATTATATCTGCACACATTGTCTCTATATTTTGTGTATATTTAATATATCTCAGTTTTAATATTTTCTATACATATATATTTTGTATTGTTTTGTTTTGTCTGCACTGTTTTTAGTATGTATATAACTGTATGCTGCACAGTGATTAGCTGAGCTTCACCACAAGCATCTCAATGCATGAATGTCCTGACATGTTGTGCAAAAGACAAATAAACTTGAAACCTGAAGCTTGAAACATTCTGATCAACAGATCTGCTGTTAAAATGGAAAGAGGTTCAAAATCTGGAGCTGTAAAGATCAAGATCATGTCTTAATTCATTATTATTATTATTATTATTATTAGTAGTAGTAGTAGTAGTAGTAGTAGTAGTAGTATTATGGCTGAATTACATCAGATTACATCTGTGATGACCACTGGTGATACACCATTAATGCCAAGTAATCACAAGTTTGGACAGCCCCTTTTAAAGGGAGAAAGAGGTCAATATTACAGTAAATGTAAATAAATTGCAATGTACAGATCTTACACTGTAAAAAGTGGCTCAGTCAGATCTACTTAAAAAATACTCAATGTAGTAACAAGTAAATTAAGTAGTTTTATTCCACTCAAAAAATGACTTCAAAGAATCGTTCATTCAAAGTATTGATTTACGTTGAATAAAACTAGTTCATTTACTTGTTACCACATGAAGTCGTTTTTAAGTAGATCTGACCAGACACTTTTTACAGTGTAGCTGAAGAGAAATAAATATTAGTTCATATGAAATTAATAAATTATCTTGTTTGAAAACAAGAACGTAACCGATAATCAGTGTGTCGATTAGCTAGTTGCCCATAAGCCTTTATCTGATCTGGCAGTGATTTATTTCTGAAAAGGTTATTTAGTAAAGAGTTGGCGATGCAAAGACATTCAAACTTAGAGGCGGCGGCTTCTAACACTTTTAATACTTAACTGGTGTCAGACATCACGTTTTAGGACACTGGACCGTGTCTCCGGTCATTTTCACTCCTGTGAGAGGGAACCAGCTTCACTCAGCTGACAGCCTCAGCTTCACTGACCTAAAGAGCGCCGAGCTCAACCTGCAGGAACCGATTTCGCCTGTTTAACAAGAGCCACGGCCGGAATAAAGAGAGCGAACTTCAATCACGTCGAAATCACGTTTAGTTGAGCTCATCCCGCCGAGAGACCGCGGTGTCATTAACAATTCGCACCCGTTTTCGGACAAGACCCGCCCTCCTATGCTAGGATTGGATGATAGATCGTCGTCAGCCAATAGGAACCCTCCGCTCACCTGCAGCGCGCCAACAGGCTGTTTTTTCTGCGCTGGAATTGGCCAGCAGTTCACAACGGAGTAGCCAATCAACGCGTTTTATTTTTGTTTTACTTAATTTTATTTTATGTTTCTTAACAATTCTAACCGTCCTTAAAAGTAGCATTAATACTTGTGATACACACATAATTTGACTATATATTAATATTATTTTTACTATTATTTGGCTGTGCCAGGATTGGCTAATAGTTTATACCATAGAGCAGTCTAGGAGGGCGGGGTTTGTCGGAAAACGGGTGGGAAATAAAATAAATAGCGCTGGACTGACGTCACGCGGTTTCAGCCTCCTTGTTTGTATTGCACCTCTCTCCCTCTCTCTCTCTCTCCCTCTCTCTCCCTCTCCTCTTTCTGTGAGAGGCGTTAGTGAGTGGCTCTCAGAGTGTCCTCCTGTCTTCTGGGATTACGCGCTCTGGACAGCGCTGGGCAGCAGGAGGAGATCTCCGCTCACTGAAGAGACTTCTCGGGCTTTTTGGACGAGTTGTTACGGACATGGAGGGCTGGAACCGGGACACGAAACACGGCTCACTTCTGTAGTTTCTCTGGATGGCGAGTGGCTCCTCGTGCAGCTTTCTCTGTCTCGTTTCTCCTGATGGGTTTGGGCTCTGGCGGGCCGAGATGAGAACTAAATGAGTGTGAAATCCACAAAACTAGAGCTGCGTTTGAGAAGTTCACTCTGCTGTGGACGAACATGAGGCAGTTTTACAGATCAGGGCTGGGAAATAACTCACAGTGTGAACTGTGGGGCTTAATTCAGCTGTACTGCGCCCTGAGGGGATCGTCTCGTTGTGAGGCCTAACGCTGCTGCTCTCACTCGGCCTCCATGGTCATTCCACTGAGACACAGTCCAGTAAATGAAGGGAGATGAAGGATCATGCCTGGACGGGTCTCACTGAGAGAAGATCCGGAGTCCACAGTGGAGCGTCTGTCCTGTAGAGGCTCAGAGCTGAAACCACGGCTGAGCCAGATCTCATTAATAACACAGTTATTAACTAACACTAACAGTTCTCAACCTGCAGGAACTGCTGTTCTTTAATTCAGTGCATATTTAAAAGCCCACTGTAAGACCCCCGAGAGAGAGAGAGAGTTATCTGACCTACACTGACTGCTGCTGTTAGAGTGAAACAGGCTTATGAGAGCGGCTCGTGCGGGAATCAGTGGACAGGCCGGGGGGCAGCGCGCTCGGATTATGTGTATAGGTGGTGTTTCTGCGCGGCAGAAATGAAGGAAAAGTCCAAAAATGCGGCGAAGACGCGGAGAGAAAAAGAAAACGGGGAGTTTTATGAACTGGCCAAACTGCTGCCTCTGCCCTCGGCCATCACCTCGCAGCTGGACAAGGCCTCCATCATCCGCCTGACCACCAGCTACCTGAGGATGAGAGCGGTGTTCCCGGACGGTGAGACACACACACACACACACACAGGTTTCATTATTATATTATAATATTATTTTACTGTTATTATAAAGACACTGACAGCAGAGACAGACCTCATCCTGTTCACAGCGATTTAAAAAACAAATAAATCATAAAATCAATAAAAAAAATCAATAAAAAATAAATAATCAAAGTACAAAGACTCGCTCGCGCGAAAAAATGACTTGTAAAGTGAGAAATGTCATATTTACGGGACTTTCTGCGGTCAGTTGTGACAATTTACGTCATGCATAATGAACAGCTTATCTGTTTATTTGTTGATTTTAAAAAGAAACATAAACTAGATATAAAATGTGCCATAACTTTTGCACAGGCCACATTTAATGCTTTATTTTTTCTCCAAATATGTTACATTGTGCACTTAAATATCCAGAAAAATGTCATATTTAAGAACGTTCTCTGTTTATTTTCAGCCAGAAAACCAGCAAATCTTATGCACATATGATAAAACAAAAACTCTTAATAATTAATAATTAAATTATTATAATTATTATTATTATAACGCGTAATAATTAAAACCGAATCATTTTTTCTTTAAAAATACTTCGCTGTAATTGAATCACAGGCCGGTTATAAATTAATAATTAATACAGAGAATTTAGAGTAATATAAAAAATAAACTAGATTAAAATGAGCGGTTCGTAATAAAGTAATAAGTGTTTTTGTTATTAAGAGTCTGAAGCGGGGAGTTTTCTTCGTCTCCCGTCTGTTTCTCGGCCTGACGAGCGGCCACTGAGGACAATGAATAAATAATAAAAATAATACAGAGATGATTTAAAGAGCCGTTTAGACCAACAGAACAATTTTCACCAACTCCGAGAAAAATGTAAAAGTGAAGCGGGCGCTGAATTTTAGTCACTGCAGCTCCGTTTATTCTCTCTGACTGAGAGTGAAGCGCAGAGTGACGCGTAGCCGAGCTTTCACTCCCTACAGGCTTATATGAGAACACAGGAAATTCACTCTATAGAATTACAGTGAAAATATTAAATTCACTCGTTATAAAATTAATAAGAACATCTAAAATTCACTATTTATAAAATTAATAAGAACATCTAAAATTCACTCTTTATAAAGCTAAAGTGAAAATATAAAATTTACTCTTTATAAAATTTAAATTCACTCTATATAAAATTACAATTCACTCTATAAAATGAATAAGAAAATATAAAATTTACTCTTTATAAAATTAAAATTCACTCGTTATAAAATTAAAATTCACTCTTTATAAAATGAATAAGAAAATATAAAATTCACTCTTTATAAAATTAAAATTCACTCTATAAAACTGAAGCAAAAAAATTCACTCATTATAAAGTTAATGAAAAAATATAAAAAGATCTCTTTATAAAATTAAAATCCACCCTTTATAAAGTTATTGTGAGAAAATATAAAATTCACTCTTTATAAAGTTAATATTCCCTCGTTATTATGTTACTGTGAAAAAATAAAATTCACTCCATTTAAAATAATGTGAGGAAATATCAAATTGACTCTTTATGAAGTTACTGTGAGAAAACTGAAAATTCACTTTTTATAGAGTTGTTGTGAGGAAAGAGGAGCTAATAGATTTGCTCCCTTGTGTAAACAGTGAGCACAGATGTTGAAAACAGCTAAATAAAAATTCAGCTTCTGCTCGCTGTGTTTTGGTTTTTAACCGGTTTCTATTTTAAAAGCTTTTTGAAAGTGTTTCTATTTGAAATATGTTTTTCCTTTAAAATGTTTCTATTTTGGAAATTGTAGAATAGCACGCTTATGGCTTCCTGTGACTCACTATAGGTTACTTCTACAATAAACACATTTCTAATAATGATTATTATAATATAACTTCGGCTCTACATGTGCAGACCCTGCGTTCTCTCTTATTCTAATGTAAATCAGTGTAAATCAGTCTCTGACTAACAGGAGACAGCGTTAGAAATGTGAGACTACACCTCACTCAGTAACTGTGCAGACAGACACTGAAGATTTCACTGTAATGCTTCATCACAGCAGTGATGACAGCAGAGTGAAGGAGGCTGCTGTTCACTGAAGCTTTACTGTTTCATTAACTGGGCTACAAAGTACTTTCTCATCTAAAGTTGTGGAGCCTGATCAGAAATGTAGCCTCCATCATGATTACGTTTATAGTGAGTAAATAAAAGAATATATTTTTAAAAAATAAAGACTTTAAATGAATAATTAACCGTTTAACAGCTAACAGGGGAAGTGAATGTGCTGTTTGGTTGGAGCCTTTGTGTAATAAATCCATGCCCTGTTTAAAATAACTGTGCTGATAAAAGAAGGAAAATAAAGATGAGCATGTGATGGGGGTCTTGTGTGGTCCTGGTTTAACGTACCGTTTTGTGTGTAAGGTCTTGGAGAGGCGTGGGGTCAGCAGTCCCGCATCAGCCCACTGGACAGCATGGCTAAAGAGTTAGGATCCCACCTGCTGCAGGTTAGTGAAAACACTTCATTACACACTTCAGAACAGAGAGAGAGACTGATAAGAGATGTAGGCATTTACATAGGTTTATTATAGAAAGCATGAATTGCAACCAGAGACCATTTATGGTTCATTTATGAATGTAATGCATTGAATTTACTCAGTTCACATGTGTAGGGTAGCATGGGGGGGAAGAAGCCCCCACCCCGACACATGCACTGAATGGCTTTGGTCTAACAAACGCTGAAATTTCATCTGCAAACCTGCGTTCCTGAGATTTACTGCTGCAGAAATGTTTGGGGTCAGTCGATCTAATTTATATAATTATAAATTAGTGATCTATACTTATACATGTAATCTGTACAAGAAAAGCTGTTAAGCTGTATGATTGTGGGGGTTGTAGAGATAATAGTAAATTTTCTTCTGAGAACGAATATGAGATTTTTTTTCTTTTGAATTAAAAATAATTTTAGACCTTTGGCGCAAAAAGTCTCCCCAGACACAAAGTAAAAGACCCCCTTTGCAATACTGACCCCAAAATGATATTTAGTTACTTGCTGACTGTGAACTTTGGGCTGGCTAGCATTAGCATTAACTTGCTTTTTGCTCTGAATGCTATTAATTTGTTTAAACTGTTACTGCTATTATTGATGCCATAGTACTACTATGACTCATAATAATAATAATAATAACGATAATAATAAATGAATATGCATATCAGACATAATAATGACAATGCATAATATCATTATGCAGTTAAAACAATCACACTAATTATTTTAATGCACAAAATTAACATTTCTATCATTGTCTTTTGTCATGGCTTATCATAATGAAGTGGTATCATTAATGCACACCTGGGACAAGGCCTCAATTTCATTTTAAGATCTAATATTTTTGGTGTTGCACTTTGATTAATAACCCAGTTATTTAAAAAAAAATGATTTGACATATAAATTATATGTTCTGTGACTTTTAAAAAACAAATTGATTCAAGATTCACTAGGTTAGCTTCTTATCCCAGTTAGAGGGGCTTCTTATCCCAGATAGGTGGGCAATTTGTCTGCTAAAACAGACTACTGTTCCAGTTTCCTTCTCCCAACTGTGTGTACGTTTATACATCATCATCATCCTGTACAAGAAAAAAATCAGGCACAGATCTGGTTTAGCATTACAGTAAAATTGGACATTGTTCTTAAGGGGGAGGGAGGGGGCTCTTCCACATGAATAACACATTTAATAACACATTTCTGTTTTAAAGCAGTTATTGTGTTGATGTAATGTGTTTTATTTATGTAGAAATGGTGTACATATTTAAATCAAGTCAGTTCAATGCATTACTTTGTTAATGGTTTAATAAACAACACATTTTATTGTATAAATATATTAACATATCACTGGTGTCGGAACAAATCCTTGTATCTTCAAAATGGTAACTTTACAGGAGAAGGAAAAAACATACTTTACTTTTAATGCAAGTCAATGGAATCAGAGTTTTTTCCAAGTCATTTTGGGCCATTTCCTTTGGTCCATTCATCATGAAATTTTGACACAATGTAAAGGGCAACAGGCATTTTTGAATTATGTCAAAAAATGAAAAATGGAGATACAAAGTTTTGTTCCAACAGCAGTGACATGCTTGCCAAGCCTGTCTGAAAAATACTGTATAAAAAGAAATACTTTCAAATGAAGTAATAATAATAATAATAATAATAATAATCCACAATTTCTATTAAATATTAAAAAGCGTCATTTTTAATGTGTAATTATTTATAATTAGTGCAGTTGTATATCATTACTATCAGGACAAAACCTTGTATCCCCATTGTTGTCTTTTTTTTAATATAAGCTGCCTTTTAAATTGTGAGTTAATGATGTATGAATCAAAAGAAAAGGTATAAAATTACTAGGAATAAAATCTCTTTATACCGACTTCCATTAAAAGTTAAAAAAAAATCCTTTCCTGTAAAGTTACTGTTTTTGACTATACTCAGTTAGTCTGATAATCAGTTTCCGCTTTTTAAACCTTGTCTTACAGCGTTGTATCAGTGCATAAAGTCAGAACATATTAATAAGGCACAGATATATTATTAACCTACACTAGAAAAAAAGTGTTTTTACTTCATTCAAATTGTGTTGGTTGCATAAATAAATATATAGGTTACATGAACACACTGTTCTTTCAGTCTTGCCACTTTTGTCAAGATCCATGTTGATGTAACACCTTCCATTCATGTGCAAATGAGCGACACATTTGCATCACATAAATTCAAAGCATGTCATTTCCAGTGTATCATATATTACGTATAATAGTACCTATTATATTCCCTGTTATATTCATCATCTTGTTGTTCACCCATACAGACTCTGGACGGGTTTGTGTTTGTCGTTGCGTCTGATGGTAAAATCATGTACATCTCTGAGACCGCCTCGGTTCACCTCGGCTTATCTCAGGTGAGTCCACATTGAATAGCTACTCCAAATACAAAACCTGTAACCTCAGCTGGCATGTCTGGCATGTCTGCTCGAAGTCCCGGTCAGAAAAGGGCCACTCTGATACGCTCTTTGAGATGTTATTTGCCGCTCTGTGGTGATAAATGAAACAATGGAAGGTAAATTTCTCCACCTGCGGATTCAGATGGGTGAGAGTGTGTGTGGTTTGTGGAGAGTATTATCCGCTGCTGTTCTCGCTGTAGGCTGGTTTTGTTCTTAACACCGATCTGCAGTGTGTGAAAGCACGGAGTCTGTTTGCTCAGCACACTGAAAACACTGAGGTTCAGGTCATGCAAATGTCAGTATTTTTCACACGTTGAGTGTCTGGTGGAGGAGGCTGCAGTCTGCTAACCGTGGACGAAAAGAAAAGGCAGATTAGGCCGATACACTGAGGCCACTGTGGACTCTTTAACACCTCCAGCTTTACGCTCGGGGATGTGGAGTCTGGGCAGAATATTAACCCATCCTGTTAATGCTGTGATCGTTTATTTGGCTGGGGAATATTCTAGGACATGAAGAGATGCAGTGAGAGAGAGAGAGAGAGAGAGAGAGAGGGAGAGAGAGAGAGAGAGAGAGAGGGAGAGAGAGATTTTCTCAGAATTGCATTAGCAATCCTGTGCAGAAGGAGAGAGAGGAGCTATTTTTCGTGGAAGCAGTGATATACGTGCTGTTTGTGAGGGACAGAGCCTGAGAATGATGTGCACACACACTAACACAGACAATGTGTGCAGTCACTTACATGTCCCATATGTATTATATATGATACATATGTAATTACTTAGGTATTATATACTTATAATTACATAATTACTTATGTATTACACACACAAACATACATTTTTTTTTATACATTAATAAATAAACTATTTGTGTTTATATATATTATCAGAAGAAAACCTTGGAAACCTTGTATCTCTAAAATGATAACTTTACAGGAGAAGGAAAAAACATGCTTTACTTTCAATGTAAGTCAATGGAACCAGAGTTTTTTCCAAGTCATTTTTTGCCATTTCTCTTTAGTCCATTCATCATGAAATTTACATATAATGTAAAGGGTATCAAGTATTTTCAAATTATGTCAAAAACTGAAAAATGTCAAAAATGGAGATACAAGGTTTTCACAAATAGTGTATATATATATATATATATATATTATTCTAACTAGCTCATAAGATATTTACTACTTTTTACCCCTTAAAATCTCAGGCTTATTACGCACTGAGTCTTATTATTCTGTAACTACAGGGACTCCAATGCAAACTGGTGGTGCTATTCTGAGGTTATAGAAGTGTATAATAAAACTTTGGCCATTTCTGGCCATGTAAGAGGTTAAAAACAATAATTTCTTGTTACCTATTGCTGTATTTATGCTATTTTGTTTCTGTTCTAACATTATATATGAAGTTTTTTATAGGCAAAAACATACTTACTGCTCCATCACTTACTGATAAATGGTTTTAAACAATTTTCTTAGGTGACCTTTGCACAGTACTGAAAGTAAGTAACTATATGTAATAATAATAATGTAATAATATGTTCCATATGTAATATATAAGTGTATGTAATAATAATATATATACACACACAAGCATGCTGACTGTAATACACCTCATCATATCATCGTTCAATCTGAGACAAAACAGCATCACAGAACTCTCTGGAATCTCTATTAATCCTAGAGAAAACAGTCAAGGTGGCAAATACAATAAAGGAAAGTTTGGCTTTACTATTGAAGTGTTATTTACTGTTAAGAGACGTTTGGTATGTTTTCAGTGTACGCCTTAGAGATTTAATGTGGAACGGCCTCAACTTTTTATTTACTTGTTACAAGAATGTAACATTTTCCGTGGTCACGCAGACTAAAACCAGTGTTTGAAATAATAGATTTTTTATATAGTGAAGATGTGGACTATTATCCTAAAGGCTTTTGAGAAATTTGACAACGTGGAAATGTTTAATAGACAAAAAGAAAAAAATCACCAGAGATCTGATGCACTTTGCATAGAACATTTGTAATTTATTTGCATGCGTTTGTAATACTTGAGTTCCTCAATGTCCACTTGGCTGTATTTCCAGCACGGCTGCAGGCAACATCATCCTTTTACATTGCCTGAAAGACTTTTACTTCATCTCTGCTGTTTCAAACTGTGAATGAAAGCTATAGACAATACGGTCAGGCTAACTGGAGACTGCCAGCTCTCATTCACAAACGTTTAGATTTTTTGACAAATTATTCCTCTAAAACAGGCAAAACACACTGACTATGCATTTAACAGAGCTCACAATGAGGCCACTGATAAATCTGGCTGTTTTTCAAGCTACAAAACTGTGGAAGGAACACAAATGGCAGCTTTTTTCAGGTTAGGATGCAGTTCAGATAGTTTGCTTTTACATATTATTAATTTCAGTTTTTAAAAACTGAAGTACTGCAAGAATATTTCACAGACTTTTTTTGTGAAGAAGAAAAAAGCAATGCATAATGAAATTGTGCTCTGTTCTTTATTTGAACAAAGTGGCTCAACTGAGTAGAAGTTAATAACAAAGTGGCTGAACTGAGTAGAAGTTAATAACAAAGTGGCGCAACTGAGTAGAAGTTAATAACAAGGCCGTTTAACGTGTGTTTCCTGCAGTGCTTTAAAACTCGAAGCTGATTCAGGATCGAACTGAATGCAGTGCAACCACAGCCAAGATCAGCCCTCCCTCATGAGGCCTGGTGCCTGAAAACAGCTTTTGCATGTACTGGAAACAAAGTTTGACTCAGTTTAACTCAATGGATTTTTAAATGAACAGACTGGAAACAGATGGAGGAGAGATTATTAGGAACAATTATAGAATACTTTCTGAAATAGAGAGAAAATAGTGTGAAATTAAAATGGAAAATGCAGAACACAATGGTGCTGAGTGAGATCTACAATGCTGAGATCCCTCACCCCCCTCCCGCACACACACACACAGTGAACACGCCCTGTGAGGATCAGTGTAGGTGGCTTTAAAAGACAGTGTTGTTTCTACTCTAGCCAAATCAGCATCACCCTTAAGCGCCGGGCCCCACATACAATAGCATGCAAATATCTCTGCTGCTGTTAATGTGAGAACACCTGCATATACTGGCTGCTGCTGACCATTCAAATATGCTGCGAGCTAAAATTAAAAGAAAAAAAGTCTCATGTAAGTGTGTCCTTGAACTACTACTGAATCAGTGTTAGCGTACGATCGCTACATACTGGGATATGCTTCACACACACACACACATATGTTTTAATGGACCACTCTGCCAAATTGCAGCCCCACAGTAAAAAAAACAAAGTATTCAAACCTTGAGATATTTAGAAGGAATATGTTATGATCATTAATTAAGATAGTAATAAGCTAAATATATACAAAATCATCACTTATAGGGTATTTTCTGTTGGGAGGTGTCTATTCCAAACCCTAACCCTTAAATTTCAACTTGTGAAAATAATCCTTACATATTTTTTTCCATTTTTTTAAAAAAGATTTTTAATTTTTCAAGGGAAGTTGAAAGACTTAGATTTATCATGAGTTTACATACATACATACATCATCTAAACCACTTATCCTTCTGGGTCGCGGTGGGGTGCTGGAGCCTATCCCAGCTGTCATTGGGCAGAAGGCAGGATACACCCTGGACAGGTCGCCAGTCCATTGCAGGGCTATCAAGAGTTTAATTATTAAATAAAAAACTTCATTTAAAAAACGCTGTTCTATGTTTTCATGTAATTACTGAAACACACAGAGTTTTAGTCTGTGGGTGGAGCCTTATTTTAGCCACACCCCTGCATTTTAGAGCAGGAAGTGAGACTGCATCCCTGTCCCTCATGGCCACATGGTGAGCAGACCCCATTGTTTTGAGGTAAAACCTGAAAATCAGTATGTACCATTATATATTGTCACTACTGAAACATACATATTCTGCAATTAAGTAAACTTTTTTTGTTTTACTGAAAAATATTCTGAGCTATGTGTATTCAGCTATTCAAAGCTGTGTATGCTAGTCATGTACTGGCTAGTGTTTTTGAAGTTAGCTAAAAGTTAGATTAAACTATTGCACGATGTTGCCTCAGGGCAACAAACTCATTTTCCTCACTTTACAATAACATTATACACATTTACAGACAATAATAGGGTTAACAACAAAGGGAAGAGTTTGAGTAAGTCAATAAAAAGCATGTACTTGGTCATACTATCTCTTAGTGGGCACATTTAAACCTCTTTTTTAACATTCAGTATAATTTTTTTTGTTATGAGAATTTGCAGAAATATGTTTGTTGCCTAGAAGCAACATTGTGTGACAGTGGAATGGATTTAGCCAGTCACAAACCAGGTCTCACCACTTCAGGGAGCATGGCTCTATGTAATTTCTTCCCATTGTCTCACAATGTTGCCTCAAGGCAACATACTCAAAAAGGACCCCTGCTCAATTTTTTGAATGTTTTTGAATAGGATAATTGGGACAGATTATTAATAATCATTAAATATAATTATCATATAATTATAATTATATAATTTAATTATATAATTTAATAACCAAAGACCATTTTACGCAAGAAAGTGAAGTTTTTAAATTGCTATCATAATGCATGCAGTAGAGGGTTAAATTGTTGCTGCTGAAATGTTCAATTTTATCATTCCATGTAATCACTACCAAAACAACCATAGCACTACTGAAACTTTACTAGATGTTCAGTAGTGTTGTGATGTTTTTGTAGTGATATAAATGTTCAGTCGTTAGTTTTAATAAAATAAACATAATTAAGGTATAAGGGTCAGTCTGAGTCGGCTAAAAGTCTGAAATGCATTTTGAATGCTGACTTTCAACCAGTTCGGTAGAGTGAACCATATGTGTGTAAAAGCACTGGTGAATCAGTGATGAGGGTTAAACATTTGCCTGCATTATTTTGACCAAAATAGTCTTTTTTGGATGACATGAAGGCCTTGATTCATCTAACATCTAAAGTAGGATCCAATTTTTTGAGCCCTACTCCGATTCAGTACTAGACCTAAGTACCTGAGTGTCAACCAATACTGATTAGATCTTTCTGTTTTCGTAGATAATACAGCCATAATATTTAGGTAAGAAATGCTAGGCTGCCTTTGAATACTACAGAAAAATTCCTTCATTTTTAGCATGTGTATAATGTGAGATTCTGTACTCACATGCTTTGTTTTTCGACCATATTATATTGTGTTTAAAACTGGTCAAATTTTAACCAAATTTGATCATATGTGATGGTTGATCTATCTGATGGTTTTGGCTACGACCTCTACCACACATGCAGTAAACTGCTCCTTCCCGTTTAAAACCAGCAGTGGAATTGAGCGACTGGTAGAGGAGAACATTTCCGTGATAGTTTTGTTTAACCATTCGTGAGTGAAAAGCATGGTGGGATTGTGCTTTCTGCATGATTCTGGCTTGCTGTTTGTGGTAAGTGGCAGAAAGTAGCTGCACACTCACATTTTATGTGCCAACGTTTAGAAGAAACGTGGTTCAAACACAGTCAGAATGTTTTGTCAAGAGTTCAGGTTTTGGTGTCTTTTGCCATTTGGCAGTGGCATGAACTGGATGTTGTTGTTTTTTTTGGAAGCCATCGTTGCTGGATGTTCATGTTGAAGTCCAGGTTTCCCCACTATTATACAAAAAAACAAAAAAAAGAGTACAGAACATTTACCTGCCTCCTCCACCAGTAACACCATGACAATGTTGTTGCAGGTTGTTTACATCACCTATCTATGACTGAAAAAAGGACTGGAGTTGGCTTAACCCTTGTGTGGTGTTCCGGTCTGTGGGACCAATTTTCAATGTTTACCAAATTGATTTATTATTATTTCAACATCAGATTTCTTGGCCTTTGCTCATTTTCTGTGAAGAACATATGAAATAACCCATTTTCAGTGCCTTCACTCTGTTCACCCCCCACACATTTATATTACACATGTGGTGTTGGGCTGAACCCGCGGGGAGTAAAAGTGTGGAGGTGCTGTGTCCTTCACTCTGTTCTCCTCCTATATGGCCTGCTGTTAGTGTGTGTGTGCCTGTGTGTGTATGTGTTTGTATATGTGTGTGTTTGTGTGTGTGTGTGGGTGGACAAAATGGACAGGCTGCTGACTGGCTACAGCTGCTAAAGGAGAACCCTACACTGGCCACTTTTGATATTTTACACATCTGGCATTTTTACATAAATTGTTATGGCTGTATTGATTTAAAAAACAATAATGTGGTGGGTCCAGCAGACCACTGAGTAACACACACATCAACACCACACAAGGGCTAATACAGCCAATACCCAGTCCATTAAAATAAGATCACTTGGGTCACATCTGGAGACCCCTAATTAAAACATCTACAGAAACACTCACTGAAACTGTGATCAGTAAACGTTGTTGGTGGTTTGAGGGTTGATTTGCATATCGCAACCCACTGTGAAACCGGGATTGGAGGCTGCCAGCGATAACAATAAACAAATGAAACATCGTGCAGCCCTAAGCTGAACTAGCGTGTCATCTAGTGTCTGAGCAGAGAGAAAAACAACCAAATCCAAATCATAACCAGACAGAAAATGGTGGTCAGATCTGGCGTGCTCAAGCCTCATCAGTCAGAGAGATCTAGTTGTTGAAAATCAAAGTCCGCTGGACGTTCGGCTGCACGCTCTGCGTGCCTTTGCATCCTGACCGTGTCGGCCTGCGCAGCTCCTTCTGCCACAATGCTGCAGCTCTGCACAAAGCTCAGCTTTGAGCCTGAGCCGCAGCTGCTTAGAAAGCAATTTGTAACTGAAGTGGCGCACGGTGGCCCTCGCTGTGTCCGGCCTGCCCTGCTAATTTGCGCAGCAAAATAGATCAAAGTCCAGCCTGCGCTCCGCTTTTGTTTTCTCATGCAAATCCTCTTTTTTTTCCACAGACATTAACCCTTTACAACTGGCTGGTGTCAGTTTCTTTTAGAGTGCAACTGAATCACCCATCTCTTTGAATGAGACACAGATCAATTTCAGGGGAGCTTAGCTTTAGTCCCACCACCACCACACACACCACACACACACCGCATAATAGACATTTCTATGAGCTGAGGTAATCTTCTTAAATCACGGAGATTACAACTAATCCCAGTCACAAAAAATGTTTCAATTTGTCTTAAAGGTTCTGCTGAATTACTGTTGATTACATTCTTTCAAAATGACAAATGAGCATTAATCTGATTAATTATTGCATGCACAATTAGAGTTTGTTCAAAGCACATCCAAACTCTGAAAACAACACAAACTGACTAATTACTGACAAATGTTAGCTAAATTAATGTCTCTCTCTCTCTCTGTGTGTCTCTCTCTCTCTTTCTATAATAAGTTAATGGAAAGTAAGTGAATTCCCAGAACTGGAGTTCATTAATTAATGAAAAGATAAAGGATTTAGAATAAATTGGGGCTCCTAACAACTAAGCAAGACCTGGTAGAGACCAAAACTGTCTCCATCAGATAAGCAGCACCTAAAGCTTTCATCTTTGAGAGAGAGGAGAAAATCAAGCTGCTTCAGATCTGAAAACATCCACAGGTGTTTCTGTCCATCCTTCCACTGTGAGAAGACGACTCAGCACTGTGGCTTTGTTCACATTACCAGGTTGAAGTAGCACAAATCAGATTTTTTGCCCTAATGTGACTCAGATCTGATGTTTACAGGGCTGTGTGGACACAAATCTGATCTTTTCAAATCCGACCTGAGCCACTTTCATATGTGATCCTAGATCAGATACATATCCGGTTCATGGCCATGCGACCTTAATGTGACGCTCATGTGCTTTTTTTCCACTGCGCGTGCGCCAACATTCAGCGTTACCATGGCAGCAGCGCCGAACAGGAGTTAAAGCCTGTAAACGTGGAAAAGCAGCTCAACTCACCTTTTTCTCCTTCGTCTCACTCTAATAATGAAGCTGAGAGCTGATCAGAGTTAATTATCTTCTCAGCGAAGCTCGTTCTGCTCGTTAGTCTGTTTGCTGATGACACACGTGATTCATTCACATGACGTTACTGAGTAGGATGTACACATGCGGGTCATTTCAGGACGCTGGTTTGATCATATTAGTGACAGATTTGAATCACTTACCTAAACGAGTGTGAACCATCGTGTCAGAGAGATCAGATTTGAGCAAAAAATCCGATTTGAGCAATGAGGCTGGTAATGTGAACGTAGCATGAGAGTCTGAAAGGATGTTTAGCTGTCAAGATTCTGTTTCTAAGATAAGGAAACAGACAAAAAAGAGGAAAATTTGCATATCAAACAAAGAAGCTGCTGGTGTTCTCAGAACAATAGACTGACCTCCCCAGAGTCCAGACAACAACATCACTGAATGTGTTTGAAATTATTTCGATCATGAGAAGCAAAAATGCAACAAACTTCTAAGACTGAACTTTGGAGGTGTGGAGAAGTATCCCTGCAGATTTCTGAAGGCAAGCCTCCTGAAAAGAATGGAAGCTGTAATAAAGGCAGTGTGTGCACACAATAAACTACTGTAAAGTACTACTGTAGTGCTGTAAAGTACTGAACATTTGAAGATGATATTTAGTTGTTGAAGCTTCTGTGTAATTTTTATTAAATATATGTTTTCAGGTTTTTTCCTGATGCTGAAAAATGACTTAATGGCTGTTTTGACTGGGTATTGAAGAAATGAAGGGTAGTCTCTGACTTTTGATCAGTACTGCATGTGTGTATCTCTGTGTTCTGTCTTTGCAGGTGGAGTTGACAGGTAACAGCATATTCGAGTACATTCACCCATCTGACCATGACGAGATGACCGCAGTGCTGAGTGCTCATCAGCCGCTGCACCCACACTTTCTACCAGGTAACTACTATAACCATACATACACACAAACAGCATTAATAGAGACTTCATAACACATGTATAAGCTCTGAGCACTGTACTTATAAAGCAATACCTCAGTACTTATGAAAAAGTATGCCAGTATTAACAAGATGACGTCAGATGTTTTTTGGAGTAAATGATGTCTTATTGAGTTGTATTGTATATGAAGCCTTATAGGGCCCCTATCATTGAAAACCTCGCTTTATTGAAGTAAAAGAGTTTGATGCAGTATGTAAACATTATTACAATTTCTAAACGCGCCATTCACTATCCAGTCCATACACTCCATATGTGAAAACTAACCTGCAAAAACCCATTTTGAATTCATTGTTTTTGTGATGTCATGAAAATCAACACATTTACATATATCCACCTATTCAGTCTACAGCAGCTTAGCTCCACCCCTTTACGCTGAAGTTATAAGGAGTGTTTCAGCCCAGGCTGCTTTTTGAATGAGGCACAATAGAGGGTAACCAGTCCCAACAGAGCTCATTTACATATACCAGTCTTAAAGGCACGGTAACAAAGACAGCCCGTTTAAAAGAGGTTGGAAAATGGTCACGTAAAAATGAAATATGACTGGGTTTGGTATGTAAAATCAAATGTTGTTGGAGAAAAATAAATTAGAAATGAAAAGAATGTAAGATACAGGCTCTTTCAATTAAAGTGAAGGCTATTTATTTTATTTATAATACTTTTATGAAGCATCGCTGCCAGAAGGCAGAAGTTTAGTTAAGAACACCGTAAATCAGATTTTGATGCTCTCAAAATTAAGTAGCACACAAACGCACACAAGGCAGAATGTGTTTTGATGTATGTTTGTGTGTGTGTGTGTGTGTGTTTGTCAGAGTACGAGATGGAGCGCTCCTTCTTCCTCAGGATGAAGTGTGTGTTAGCTAAACGGAATGCAGGACTGACGTGTGGTGGTTATAAGGTAATCTCACACACACACACACACACACTGTACACCTCTTAGCGGGAAACAAGTGCACTAGAAATGATTTTAGCTGTCAGATACCGCAGCTAAGCGAATACACTAGAAAAGCAACAAAAACATAATAATTAGCAGCCCAATTATAATGTTATTATATTATTATATTTAATAGGAATCCCAACTCCAGATCTTCATAATTCAGTTGTTTATATGTAAACAAAGTCATTCAGAGTGATTTGATGTGAAATGCTTCATTGTAGAGAAACTTACCGACTCAGATTTCTTTATACCGATAATGATAGGAACCAAGTGCCACAATGTCTACAACACAAATATAACCATTTTATTTACTATCCAAAAACACCAATGAAAATGGAAAAATAGTAGTAAATCTGGAACATTTTGGGAATTATTTTGCTTGCATGTACCTCTCCACCTTGAATGGATTTTAACAAATGGGCCAAAATCTTATCTCAAAACTATTATATTATATGCCTCAGGCATCAGTCAGCATATTCATAACCATTTCATGTAATCACTTTCTGTTAGGTAGCTTTAAACTGATAAAGGCATTTAAAGGGCATTGAACTGTTTAGATGTCTGGTACCTGAGTTGGTAGTTTTCTCAGAAAGCATTTTATATCAAACTACTCTGAATGATTTTGTTAGTAACAGTTTATTCATGCAAAAACTTTGAAAAATCACCTCTAATAGTAAAAATGAACATGCAAAGATTACAAAGCTGTAAATAGCGCACACACCTCTGAACACTCAGCCAGGCTGACCAAGTAACAACATTCTGCACTGCTTGCATTTGATCTGAAGATCTGAAGACCTCTATGCCCACATGTGTTTGCTTTATATTTTTAGACATCTTCTTTTTTAAAATTACACAAGAACAAACAGCTGTTAGACCTTTAGAAGTTGCATTTTACACCAGTGATTTAAAAGCATGACACTTTATGAATTAATTCTCGCTCATAGCTCATCAAAACGAGTGGAGAAGTTCTTAAAGTCTTAAAGAAAGTCTTATAATAGATTTTAGCTCATATGTTGCCTGCAAATGTCTTATTTTTTACTATTCGAGGCATTAAATTCTAAGATGATGTTCAAAGACTGAGTTGAGATGAGGCATCCTGTATATTGAACTAATTCAGAACAGTCCACCAACGAAAAATATCCAGCTGACGGTGGTCCTGATGAAGAGCTTGAGGATGACGGAACTGACAACACAGTGAAAAGACACGTCATGCACACAATAGACTTTAATACAGTCCATATTTGAGTTTTTGTACTGCTGTGTGGTGGAAATTGTCTTATGTTTCCTATGTTGGGGCCTTAAAAGAGTATCAGAAAGAATTTGGTTTTAGAGCTTAATTTCATTCTAAAGTTTCAATTGATGACACTTTATAAAATACATCAGAAAAATACAGAAAACACATATTGAACTGAAAGCCTGAACATAGCATCAGTTTTCACATTTAATGAGTCCTTGCTTTACATTTATTTCAGCTTCCATTCTTTTCAGGAGACTTGCTTTCAGTTTTTTCACTTCTCAACACCTCGAAAGTTCAGTCTTAGAAGTTGGTTGCAGTCAGTGATGTTGCGGTATCTAAAGTTTAATCTGATACCACATTTGGTTTGTATGTAGAGGAGTAGATATTTTATTATGACTTGAATTTAATGAAAAGTTATTTTTTGCCATGTTTCTTTCAGTGTGGTTGTAAGTGCAAAACTGTATAGAATGCAAATTGAATATGAAGTAATTCAACTCAATACACAACTAGCTACAAGCTATAATGTACATAGTATAGAAAAATGACTGTAATAACTCCAGACGTCTAACCTGAAGAGATAACCTGTGTATTTTTTTAAACAGCCTTTGTTTGAAACTCTTTCTAGAGAGTACCTGCACACTTCTTTAATACATAAGCTGGGCAGCTCTTTATTTATTTTTTGCACTCTTGAGACATTCTTGAGCCCATGTGTCAAACACAAGGCCCACAGGCCAGATCAGGCAATTCTATCCGGCCTAAAAAAGTGTTTTAATTTTTTATTAATATTAGCCTGTTTCACAATGCATTGCGGTGCATGCTGGGGACTGTAATGTGTGCTCTGACTTGGGGTTGGGGTTATAGCACAACATTACTCATCATCATCTTCAATCCTTCATCCAGATAGGTTAGTGGTACCAACATTAATTACAAAATAAAATAAAAACATTTTTTTCTCTGGCCCACAGATTTGTTGAGATTTTTTAATACGGCCCCTTGAGTGGTTGAATTTGACACCCCTGTTCATATACATTTTGCTCACTTGTTTTTTTTAGATATGAAATGCAGATTAAGACTGCATGAGGATTCTTGACTGAAAATCCTTTTTAAACCCTTGAACCCTATCATTAGTAATTATTCAGTTAATAGTCTTCATTAACTACTATGCTAATGTGCACTATTTGGTTAGTATTATGAATATTATGAACTGAAATGTAAGTTATGTAGCTTATATAAGTTACACAGACCTGTAAGTTATATTCAGGCCCTTTAAGGGGTTTAAGGGGTTAATCTAGAACTAATCTGTGCCAGAAAAGTGGGAACCCTCAGACTGCCAAATAATAGCACTTCATTGCTTTGGTTACATGCAATAAAAAGAGAGTGATTTGTTTTTAGCAGAAGAATCTGGAAGTGAACTGTTTTAATAGGCCCACTTGAAGTAATGGAACATGAATGCGTAATAGCTCACATATCTGCTCTCGCCTCGGCTGCTTTCCATGCCGTCTCCGCCGGGTCTCCCCTCGCGTGAGCGCAGGTCCCAGCAGCTCTGCAGAATCCCCCCCGGCCCCCGTCACTCATAAATCACGCAGCCCATCGCTTCGGAAATTTGTTTGAAATTTACATTGGCAGTAAACAAGCCGGTTATGTTAAGTAGAGAATAAATCACGGGCTGGATGCAGGCAGAGAGCAAGAGAGCGAGATAAATATCACCAACAGGTCACTGTTAGCAAGCCAAGCACTGTGTGTGTGTGTGTGTGTGTGTGTCTGTGTTAAAACACGGTGCACTGAAGCCCTGAGTGTAGCTCGTTTCAGACAGACCACACTCACATAACACACATACACAGTTCTTCATTCACCATCACTGCAGCTCAGAGTGATCTGTTCTCCAGACTGCGAGAGGTGAGCTTGAAGAGGGTCAGTCAGATGAAGTGTGTGTGTGTGTTGTTATGTGATAGGCAGCACACATATTCTGTTCAGCATAAATGTTGGACCACGTGCATTAATTTTCCTAAAATGAGTTTATATACTACAAGAATCAGAGAGGCACCGGTCGTGGATGTTTATGGCCAAATTCGATTTACATTGTTATTAGCCTTGGTTTTAATCTGAAGCTCACATGTTGTGCACATTCTCAGTACTTTCTGTTAGACAAAGCTGCATTTTTCAGTGTAGGCAGGAAACAAATATTCAACATATAATTACACCAACTTAATATAATCACATTATCATGTTCAGTGGATACACTATGTGTGGATAATTTCACTTGTACCCATATATAGTATATCCACTTGTTGCCTTTACAATCATTCTTTTTTGGGAGACTTGCTTTCGTTTTTTCAAAGAAATCCGCAGGGGAATTTTTCCACACCTCCAAAGTTCAGTCTTTGAAGTTGGTTGCATTTTCTGCTTCTCACAATCTAAGCACTGGTGCAAATTCAGGGGGCTAGAAAAGTACACAAGATATTATGCTTTCAAAAGAGCTGTGAGCTAGTAATAATTAGAGAGCTGTCAATTACACTTTACAACTCAAATTAAAACCAAAATAGGTGCATTGTTTGGTAACTTATGCCATAACAGGTATTAATAGTCTTTACTTTTATTTCTGAATTATCATCATTTACATTTATATTTATATATATGTTTAGAGTAAGAATTTACCATTTCAAAAAGATGCCATTGTCATAGTCAACAAAACTGAATGTCTATACTAAACACAAATTATATTCCAATGTTTTTTTTTTATGTTTTAATATTGACATACAAAGCATGAGCTATGATACAATTAGTGGTTTTAAGGTCCAGTGGTGAACCTTAAATAAGTTTTTCCAGGTGAAAAGTTCGTATTTGTACTTTTCATAACTTTTTAGAACAGAACAGTAAAATATAAGCCTGGAGACGAGACGGGGTGTGTGGAGTCAACACTGCTTAGAAAATATCATTTCAGTGGATTATGGTTCAGTTATGTTCCCTGACTAAAGATACTGAGATGTACCCTTGAGGGTCCCACCCCAGTGACAAGAGGCAATTTGGACCCCTGGATCCAAGTAATCCCAATAATGTTGAGGAATCTGATGGTGGCAGTTTTGGTGGTCTACTAGGTCTTGCACAGTTGTTAGATGTCCCATTTTGTCTGTATATATTTTTAACTCCATTATTGGAAACTTGTTTTTTTCAATTTTTTTTTCGTTGACTTTCTCCTTCTGTATGCAAATGGATTATCTTATATATGATCTCCTGAGAAAAGGAAGGGTGGTCTCTGACCTTAGCAGTACTGTAAATAACATTTTTTCTCTTTAATGATCCAAACTAGCCTTTAAACAGAAAATTAGTTGCATTTTTGAATAACCTGAATCAACGAAAGTTGTATTCAGAGCTTGAACTTATAGCTAAAGACTCTGACTTAAAGCCTAATCGCTACCTACCCTTATCACACCTTATATACTTATAATAAAAGCTAATGGGCAGTTCATCCAGCATCTGTCCATTGGTTTCTATCATAATAGTGTTTAATTCAACTGTTTTTCAGATTTTTTTAAATATCTGAATTTCTGTCAATAACATTCAACTGTATACTACAAATACAGCAGACTGACATTATGTTGAGAAAAATGCTGGAATTACTTTAATTTTATTAAACTCTGAGTGGAAACTCAGCAGTGGTCTTTTGGAGCCAATGGATTAATCCTATTTGTTCTATATGATACATTTTCAATGGATCCTCATTAACAGTGATCTTTAGTTCAACACTAAGCTTCAGCTGTGTCTAGAAAAGCAACCGTTATTGTGCTATTATGCCTGCACTATTTACAGCTTTGGCTCTGTGTAGCTGTGACAAGCGTGTGATGAGTCTAGAATATAAGGCCTGCTGTGTTTGTGTCTGTGCGTAGGTGATCCATTGCAGCGGCTACCTAAAGATCCGTCAGTATGTGATGGACGTGTGTCTGTATGAGTCGTGTTATCAGATCGTGGGGCTGGTGGCTGTGGGTCACTCTCTGCCCCCCAGCGGCATCACAGAGATCAAACTACACAGCAACATGTTCATGTTCCGCGCCAGCCTGGACCTCAAGCTCATATTCCTCGACAGCAGGTGAGAACTCATCACCATCATCACCATCATCATGAGTACAGTCAGCCCGGTGATGAATCAGTGATAAAGTCTTGATCTCTTCTGTGTATGCGGCCCAATTGGAATTCATTGTTTTTATTATGTCACAAAAAGCAATACATATCTTATATCCGCCTATTCAGCCTATAGCAGTTAAGTTCCGCCTATTCACGCCAAAGTTACAAGGAGCGCTGCAGCCTGCACTGCATTTTGACTGAGGCACAGTACAAAGTAGCCAGTCAGTAAGAGGTCAGTTCCAATGCGAATTCTCCGTCCAGGCAGGAATAACACTGCTATACCAAGGCTTTAAACAGTGCACTCAGCTACCATTCTATGTCATTCTAGATAAGAGCAGTGTGAAATGTATAAATATACTGATTTATACAGTCCGCTCTATGATTATTGACAACTTTGGTAAAGATAGGTTGAGTTCTGACTTTCTGGCACAGCAGATTAAAATTTTAATTAAAAATCTCTCCCTGGTACATCCTGGAGTCCATGATCCCATGTATGCTCATGTATTCCCAAGGCCTTTGGAGGAAAAACAGCCCAAAAACATCATATCCTCCACAAGATCCTCCACAGATTCTCCACAATACTTAACAGTGGGAATGAGGTTCTTTTCTGTATAATCATCCTTTATTTTACGCCAAACCTTGCAAATCTTGTTACCAAAAAGCTCTATTTATGAGATCAGTCTCATCTAATCATAGAATCAGGTTCTAAAGTTCCAGTGGTTTCTAGAAAACTCCAGGTGCTTATATTTGTAGTTACATTTGTGGTTCCTAATAGTTTAGTGGAATGAAGGTGGTGTTTAATTGTAGTTTTGGAGATCTGGTGACCAAAAACCTACCATCTTTTGCAAATTTCCAACAGTGAGTCTTGAAGAAACTTTTGCCACCGGACAGTGTGTGTGAACGTAAAATACTTTAGCGTCCTCTTCCAGGCAGGTTCACTACAGTTCTGGTTGTTTTAAACCTCTTAATTACTGCTGCAGTGGAACTGAGCAATTTCAGGAATTTATACTCTATAGTCTTTAGTCTATAGTCTATAGTATATTCGCTAATCTTTCCCATTTTGATGAATAACTAGGTGATTCTGACCTCTGTGTCACCTCATGTTTATACCCCAGTGAAAGAGGAACTCAAGGATAACTGCTTGAACACTCAGGTGCACCAAAACACAAAAAAACAAATGCTTTAGTTACATTTTTCCATAATAATTTCTAGCATGCCAATAATTGTGACACAAGAGTTTTTGTTTCCTTAGACTTTAATTAAAGTTAGATTAAAAGGTTAGATTTCTCTCATATATTCAGGAGATGACTGAGTTAATTAACAACCAAGGCATTTTGTTCATGACCTTTTTTCACCCATCTCCATCAAGGGTACCAATAATTAGGAAGTTGACTGTAGATATGAATAATGACCGAGCTATGTCATGGCTATGTAAAATCATACTTCATATATGGATGAAGAATTGAATATATACACACACCGATCAGGTATAACATTCTGACCCCCTCCTTGTTTCTACGCTCATTGTCCATTTTATCAGCTCCACTTACTATATAGGTGCACTTTCTGTTTCTCTGCATACTTTGTTAGCCCCCTTTTACCCTGTTCTTCAGTGGTCAGGACCCCCATGGGCCCTCACAGAGCAGGTACTATTTGGGTGGTGGATCATTCTCAGCACTGCAGTAACACTGATGTGGTGGTGGTGTGTTAGTGTGTTGCGCTGGTCTGAGTGGATCAGACACAGCAGTCCTGCTGGAGTTTTTAAACACCTCAGTGTCACTGCTGGACCGAGAATAGTCCACCAACCAAAAATATCCAGCCAACAGGGTCCTGTGGGCAGCGTCCTGTGACCACTGATGAAGGACTAGAGGATGACCAACACAAACTGTGCAGCAGCAGATGAGCTATCGTTTCTGACTTTACACCTACAAGGTGAACTGACAAGGTAGGAGTGTCTAATAGAGTGGACAGTGAGTGGACACAGTGTTTAAAAACTCCAGCAGCACTGCTGTGTCTGATCCACTCAGACCAGCGCAACACACACTAACACACCACCACCACGTAAGTGTTACTGCAGTGCTGAGAATGATCCACCACCCACATAGTACCTGCTCTGTGAGGGTCCATGGGGGTCCTGACCACTGAAGAACAGGGTAAAAGGGGGCTAACAAAGTATGCAGAGAAACAGATGGACTACAGTCTGTAACTGTAGAACTACAAAGTGCACCTATACAGTAAGTGGAGCTGATAAAATGGACAATGAGCGTAGAAACAAGGAGGTGGTCATAACGTTATACCTGATCGGTGTATATATATATATATATATATATATATATATATATAAATACATATACATATATACATATATATACACAGTGGGAACTGATTTCAACATGCAATAAAGTAAAATGATCAGTCACTGGTATCAGTGTGCTTCACAAAAGGCTATCGGCTATCATTATTGACACAGATGTGATATTTGCCCTCCCTGTTTCTGTAATAAAAAGGTGATCAATCAATGTAGCAAAACCTCAAAGTTCACAGCACTGCAGACGTTGCGGAGTGAAGTCTATTTGCATAGACAAACAATGGCTGCGTTTACTCTGCAAACTGTAACGGCCAAATCAGACATGTTTTTCATATTCTTTTTTTTTATCTAATTTGAGTTCAGGCAAAAGATGCTCCAAATCAGAAATACAATTGAATACAAATGATCCAATTTTTTATAGGAAAAATGCCCTAAATGTCGCCTAACTAATGTCCAAATAAACACGAACTGTCTGATATGACAATAATCTTGATTTATTTATAATTATTTCATCTTTTCAGCTCTGTTTTCCTCTCTCCCTATACCAGAGTGGCAGAGTTGACTGGGTACGAGCCACAGGACCTGATCGAGAAAACACTGTACCAGCACGTGCACGGCTGTGACGTGTTCCACCTGAGATACGCACACCATTTGCGTGAGTCTCCGTAACCACAGTCTGTGTATTTCATTGTTGCAGCTCCAGGGCTGTGGAGCTGACATATGGGAGCACCCCAAAACGTACCTTTATGATACTAAGATATTTCCGTGATACATATCACAACATCTCATTTATCCGGTTTGAAAAGCTATAACATACAATGCAACAGCTAAACAGTAGTAGCACATTTAAAAATGCAATTTCAAAACTTTGCAATGATGATATTTTTAAGTGTTTGACTTACTGTGCCTCATTATATCCAGACCTGTCATGCTTTTGGTGAGTCACAGAATCGCCAGGATTTGAACCTGCAATTTCCCAAGAATAGAGTCTAAGCTTACACCACTTGGAAGCTCCAGCTGGTTAATTTATTTTCTTAAAATCAGTTTTCTCCCCAATTTGACCATGTCCAGTTCCACCCACTAGCGAGGTTTCCCCCTTCAGATGATGTTACCAAGCTGGGAGGGAGAAGGATAGCACGTGCTTCCTCCGAGACACATTTAGCTCCACTTTATCTATTCAAACTGCTGTTAAAGCAAAGTCACTGCACAGCTCAACACGCTTGGAGGAGAACACTAACTACCAATTCTGTTATGTAACTAACTGACAAACGCCTGAGTTGGCTAGCACTGCACTGAGTGACGGCGAGGGGTAAGACCATCCTACCCACCCAGAGAGAGTGAGGCCAATTATTCTGTGTTACTGTATTAGACTCCTGGCCACTGTGGCATCACCGGGATCAAACTTGTGATCTCTCAATGCAGAAAATATCATCTAAACAAAAAAAAACATCATTAATCTATTAAATCAGTCTAGTGTTACTCATTATAAGATTGTTGTAAGCAAACGATAAGATTATTTAACCTATTTCTATACATTTTTCCTGTTCTTATTACATTGACAGATCATTTTATTTGTTTCAAATATTAGTTTGTGAAATAAGCAAAAAGTATCTGCATTATTTCTCAACACAGCTAAAATTATCTGCCAATGGAAAAAGACATGTTAACTAGATACAATTACTTAAAACAAGTAAAACTGTATAGATGTATAGAATAATGCTGTATTATTCATACAACAAGCTCATAGTGAGAAATATTAGATATATTGATTAGATTTAAGATGTTTTCACTTCATTTGGATATCATGTTTTGCAGTACAAACTCTGGACAATAGATTGTTTTGTTTTTATGAAACATGCACTTGGTTGTGCATGTGTACTGATGTCCACAGTGTGTTTAGAAAAGCTTATCACGATGAAATCTATTGTGATAATTTATTGTGATATCATTGCTTTACCCACTCATATATGAAAGCATATATCATAGCTGTATAAAGGCAAAAAAATTATGTATACCGACAACCACACTATAAACAGATTAGTGTTGTTACATGTTTACTGCAGTCGATGCTGAAGCATTAAACACATACTTAACTTTAATGCATCTTAAATGAATGGCAGAACACTTGTTTAGCCATAATGACCGCAGTGCTGCGTTTCTCACATTTCTGTGAATTATTGCAACGAACGTATGTTTTCTATTGGATATATGCATACAGCCATAGACACATGCCGTCGCCATGGAGACGTAGACATTAAGTAAACAAGGATGTGAAAACACAGGAATTGAAGAAATTGGTGTAACAGATGCCGTCTTTGGTATTGGCAGCGTGCTGTGAACTGACTGTCACTCTCTCTTTCTCTCACTCTTTCCCTGTTTCTGGCACAACCCCTCCCCCCCCCCACTCTCTGCAGTACTGGTGAAGGGGCAGGTCACCACAAAGTATTACCGCATGCTGTCCAAGCATGGTGGCTGGGTGTGGGTCCAGAGCTACGCCACCATCGTCCACAACAGCCGATCCTCTCGCCCACACTGCATCGTCAGCGTCAACTATGTCCTCACGTGAGTCACCTCACCTCCGCCCTGATGCTGCCCTGACCTTCTCATATGACCTTCTCCATGTGCATGAGCTGAATGTATTGTTGTGTTAGCGTGTGTTGAGTGTGATGTTTGGAGGAGTGTGGCTGGTCAGCTAAGATGGAGTTTTGCACTGGACCTACAACGCCAGTGTAGCTAAGTAATAGAAGCTTATGACCAACAGTTAGCATCATGCAAACTGCATGTCTTATTCATCACACGTGTGCCACAAACATTATTGAGGACATTACATTTTCAGTATGTCAAAAAATAAACAAAAATAAAAGGCACACTAAGGGGAGTGGGGGAGGGGGAGGAAGTCTTGTATAAAATATAGAGATTGTGATTTTTAGAGCTTATTTTAGCAAAAACTTAAATCTTGACCTCATAATTGAAATCATGTCAGACCTGAAAACATATGTATCAATGTACCCATGTTGTCAAGGAATCTCAAATAGATTCCACTGTAAAAAAAAAAAATCAGTGTAAAATTACAGCCATTTATGGCAGCATTTTTCTCTAATGATTTATTTTTTATTCATAGCTCTCATACTCATACTCAAGTATTGTAATGGTATTATACATGAGTACTTTACTAGATTTCTAAATACAGATAATTACCAGAGGGGAACCACCAGGGCCTTCTAGGCCTTCAGAGAATGCCTGATGATTTCTATGAAGCAAAAAATGGATGTCTGTCATTTTTGGTTCATTTTTATACAATAGAATCAGGCCTGTATTTAAACCCTGCAATGATTTCAGGACTACTTTTGTTTCATTGTAAAGTTTTGGATGGAAAGCGTTAAATTCTTCAAAATTCCATGACCCTGTATTTCTAATGTGCAGCTTTTATGTGCTCTAATGTACAGCTGTCTGAAGGTCTTTAGGCTACTAAATTATGTAGTACAACATATAACATATATAAAAATATAGGGCAACACAACAAATTTATCAAGGACCTCAATGCATACCATTACATAGTAAAGAGAACGATCACTGTAGTACTTCGAATGAGCCATTGGTTTAATCGAAGTATTTATTTGTGTTGAATAATATTAGTAATTTCTTGTTACCACATGAAGTAATTTTAGGTTTAACGGACAAATGATTTTTGATGAAAAAAGTGCATTAACTATTATTAACAAAACTGCAGGGTATGCTGGGAAGCTTACTGCAATATTCAGAGACAGACTGCTCGAGGCTGCACAAAGTACCAGTCACTTTCCCAAAATGCCTTAAAAATAACTGCTAATTCCTGCGAAATCCAACACTTTAACTTCTTTGACAAGAAGCTGAACCTGTATCTCCCAGAATGCACCACTTCACAGTAATCTGCTGTATTAAAGGAATAAAGTAGATCACTGTGGTGCTTCTGCAGTAAATTTACAGAAATTCTTTAAAGCCTTGTTTATGTGATTTCTGACCCTGAATCTGTGAAAATGATGGTCTTCAAAATCCGGACCTTGAATCTCGATTCCGGGTTATGGATTTTCTAGTCACTGGTAGTTAAGTGAACTGTTAATGTAACCGATTGGCTGCCTAGTGTCACCCAGGACGAGAAACTGGATGCAAGGTCCAGATCTGAAGACCTTCCATTGCTCTCAGCCACATTAGCCTCGCAGCTTCAGAGCAAAACTAAAAGAGGTTAGCTTCTGAAACCAATCACGCCTTGGCTGATTGACTACATTTGCGCTAAGAGGAAAACTGTGTAAATTTATTTTGCCAAATTATCACTTTCAAAATAAGCAGGTAATTTTTTCCTGCTTGCTGCTTGTCACACAGCTCAGGAATGAGTAATGCTGGTCTGGCCGGTTTAGAAAATAAAGACATCAGACCAGCTTGGGGACCGTCAAGAGCCAAATACAACATCATTGTAATACGGAAAAGTCTACTTAGTTTCTTTTCAAAGGACAGGCTGATTGTGCGTGTGATGTTAACACGCTTTGTGTGTGTGCTCTGCAGAGACGTGGAGTATAAGGAGTTGCAGTTGTCTCAGGATCAGAGCAGGCCCAGGGCGGCGCTCTCCTATAAGACCTCCCTGCCTCCCCCACCGGACACCCGCAAACAGCTCAAAGCCAAGCCAGCCAGGATCAAAACCAAACCCAAAATATCTCCGTACCCACAGGTACACCAACAGTGCATCTTACTACCGTCTTACTGTATTCACAAACAAAGAGAGACCCATGCAAGCATGCATGCACATAAATGCAAACATGTACACACATATACATTTATGAGTAAAATCACTGAATGTGTTTTCATAATCATAGAGATTTTGATCTAGAGGCTCTGGCCAAAGCATAAAAAGGCAACCATCGCACCAGCTCTAAATAAGCCTAGTGATTTCAAGTGGGGTGGTCTGTTTGAAGTTTTTCAAATGAATTACTCCTTTGACAAATAAAAAATCGACCATTTGTGTTTAGTGCTGTATAATTAATAAACGCTGGCACCACAGATGTATTTATTAGCCTCTAGATCAGGGGCTAGCAGTCAGGATTTGTACAGAACCATAGGGATTCCCAACGATTCTGCGCTATTTTGCCTAATGCATGCTGGATATTGTAGTGAGAGAGCACTGATGGACAGAAAAAAAGATAGAAAATTGTGCATTCAGATAAAACTGATGAGGCTGATGGATGCAATGCTACACTATAGAATACAACATAACCTAATTAATAACATTTTGCATGCTAGTTTTAGGCTAGAATGCCCCTTTGAGTTGTCCAGAGACTATTATAGAGTTTGGGTTTTAGACAGTTAGAGAGTTTGATGCCTATATATGAACGTATTCCCAAAACAAATAATTTAAATGCAGGTAATATACAGGGTGATTCAAAAAGATTCATCTGATTTCAAAATGATTTATTTCATTTGTAAATCATTACAGAACAATGCAGTGAACTGTAAATGGTTTAAATGAGCATAAAGTTTATTATGTAATTTTACAAGTGCTCAATATGAACCTCCTCCAGCTGTACAGACAACATCAACGCCATAGTCAAATTCATCCCATACTCGATTGAGCATGTCGGGTGTCGCTGCACTCACAGCGCTTTCAGTGCGATTTTGGAGATCATCCAGTGTTGTGGAACCAACGGCGAACGCTCTGAGCTGTTGGAGGTTCACTGCAGATGAACATCACGTGGCACAGTTATGACAGATTCACTCTTATTGAAGTGGAGAACGCAGAACGCTTTCTGCTCAGGGGTCTCATCTCCTCTCAGACTGAAGGGAGCCATCTTCCACTGACAGTCAGAAACTCTATGACCCCCTCTTTCAGTAGGTATGTGATTGGTTCCTAGGCGCCTCATGGTTGTACAAATATGGTGCTTTGAAACCAGATGAATCTTTTTGAATCACTCTGTATTTTTCTTTAAATATTCCCGATATAACAAGTAGTTTTCACTTGTTTCTAGTTTTGACTTCTTCAAGTTCATTGAAAAGCACTGAAAACTTAAGAGACTGCCAATAGTATATAAAGCTGCCTCAAGGCAAGGGGGAAACAAAGGAAGCTGTGATAAAGGCAAAGAGTGGACGCACAAACTAGAGAAAAGCCTTATATTTTATTTACTTGTTCAGGCTTCTGTGAAATTCTCTGTTAAATATACAGTATGTTTTCTGTTTTTTGTTTCCTGACCTGATAAATGAATAACTTACTTACATCTTGTAAAATGGCCATTTCCCAGACTACAAACTACATAAATGGTGGTCTCTGACTTTTGCCTAGTACTGTGTACAAGCACAACACAGACTCCAGTGGGGAGGCTGGCTTACTGCAATACAACTTCTAACACGTATGTGACGGTGTGTATTTATCCACTCCAGATATCCATGTCCTCTGATAAGCTGGAATCTCCTCCGGGAAGCGGCTGGAAGTCCAGTCCCCCCTGCAGTCTGTCATCCTGCCAGGAACAGAGTCCAGTCTCACTGCCTCCTGTCTCCCTGCCCGTCCCAGAGCCAGGCGAGGTGCTGCCTTACAGCCTGCCGCTGCCTTACCCCTACGCACACACTCACACACAGCACCTTCCCACGGACTGCAGGAAGTTGCGGGCAGCGGCGAGTTCTCCTGAGCAGGCAGCGGGCCAGCTGCTCTCCACCCTGCCAGCCCACGGGGACAGCCACTGGGGCAACAACAGCTCCTCAAAACACACCATAAACCCCCATGCACTCAACTCCAAACCCCCTCTACACCCCCACTCTGGCAGCCCCACAGCAACACCCGGCAATAACACTTACACAGGTAAGGACTCAAGCGAGCTTTTGACCAAAGTTTTCAGGAGTTTCTGAATATTAATAGAAATCAAAAACTGGCTCAGTGAATGTAAAGTACTATCTCATCACTGATCATACCTATCAGTGTCAATTCCACATTGAAATTCACTGACAGATGACAGCATACTTTGGCACAGATCTGACCAACTGGCAGCCCTTGATGTGCTTTGAACATTATTTTTGAAAATGCTCAATTAGAGTTTCTATGTGTTTTTCTTTGAGCCACATCATTAAAGTAAACCCGACACTGATTGCTATTCAGGAAGAGTGCACTTTATTCTGGACTAAGGCTGCACTGTGATGTCAGAATATCCATAAGAATTAATAAAGAAGGCTATGTCAGAGTTTCTTTCCATTAGAGTACATCTTGGTATACACAGTACGGTGCAAAAGTCGGAGACCACTCTTCATTTATATAATTTCCAGTCAAAACGGCCATTAGGTACAAGTTATTCACTTTTCAGGAGATAGAGCAAAACAAGTGAGCTTCCAAAACTGGATCTGGGAAAAAATGGGACTCCTAACAACCACCAAAACTATCAGAACCAGATAAACAGTACTTCACTTTGAGAGGGAGGAGAAAATCAAGCCCCACTCTGGCTTCAGATCCACAGGTGTTTCTGTCCATCCTTCCACTGTGAGAACACAACTCAGCACTGTGGGTCTGAAAGGATGTGTAGCTGTTAAGAAGCTGTTACTGAGAAAAGGACATAGACAAAAACAAGAAAATCTGCAAATCAAATAAAGAAGCTGCTGGTGTTCTCAGAACAATGGACCAATGCAACAATGACCACCCCGGAGTCCAGACCTCAACATCACTGAAAGTGTTTGGGATTACTTTAATTGTGGGGAACAGAAAATGCAGCCAACTTTGGAGGTGTTGAAAATGTCTCTGCAGGTTTCTTTGAAAAACTGAAATCCAGTCTCCTGAAAAGAACGGAGGCTCTAAAAGAGTAAAATGTGGACACACTAAAAAAAATTATGTTATATTTAGTTTTTGAGGCTTCTGGGTAATTTTCTGTTAAATATATGTCTTCTGTTTTTTTTCCTGACGTTGAAAAAGAAAAAGTTGAACTTGTTTTGACTGGAGATAAAATAAATGAAAAGTGGTCTCTGACTTTTTCACAGTACTGTACATGATTTTATTTCTGGCTTGGGTTGTACATGGTACACTATCATTTGTGTGAAGGTTTACTATATATAAGCTAATTCTTCAGCCAACACAAACAGGTTAATAATGAGGACTGGAGAATGTTCAGAAAAGAAGTGGTCATGAACACATGAACACATGAAGCGTTCTAACTAGAGATGGCACAATACCACATCTTTTCTTTCTTAACTAATTCAGTATATATGCCATTCAGTATTTTTTTAGAAAACTACTAAGCACTTCATTTAAGATCAGCATCTAAACATAGATCGCCATATACTCCACTACTCCACAGGAAGAAAAACACAACTTACATCAACACACAATATGACTCTGTGCTGTTTCAGGCTACATTTGTTACAGGTTTGTACTGATTCCTTATACCCCACCCCCCAATATCCAGGCTTAGCAGAATTCATGAGATCTCCAGTGTCTGTGACCCACCAGCTATACACCGATCAGGCATAACACGATGACCACCTCCTTGTTTCTACGCTCATTGTCCATTTTATCAGCTCCACTTACTATATAGGTGCACTTTGTAGTTCTACAGTTACAGACTGTAGTCCATCTGTTTCTCTGCATACTTTGTTAGCCCCCTTTTACCCTGTTCTTCAGTGGTCAGGACCCCCATGGACCCTCACAGAGCAGGTACTATGTGGGTGGTGGATCATTCCCAGCACTGCAGTAACACCAATATGGTGGTGGTGTATTAGTGTGTGTTGTGCTGGTACGAGTGGATCAGACACAGCAGTGCTGCTGGAGCTTTTAAACACTGTGTCCACTCACTGTCCACTCTATTAGACACTCCTACCTTGTCGGTCCAGCTTGTTGATGTAAAGTCAGAGATGATAGCTCATCTGCTGCTGCACAGTTTGTGTTGGTCATCCTCTAGTCCTTCATCAGTGGTCACAGGATGCTGCCCACAGGACGATGTTGGCTGGATATTTTTGGTTGGTGGACTATTCTCAGTCCAGCAGTGACAGTGAGGTGTTTAAAAACTCCAGTCTGATCCACTCAGACCAGCGCAACACAAACTGACAGACCACCACCGCACATAATTTAAAACCATTTATCTGATAAGTTTGTTTTTGCTCTTACAATCTTAATATAGCAAATATATTATATAAATGCAAATAAACATAATACAGTGAAAGGTAACAAAAGTAGTTGATATCTTGTGAGTAAAAAGTTTAAAAAGCTAGTTTAAAGAGGGAAGTTTTGTTCCAGATGTCTCCTGAATGCCCCAAGCCATCACATTATCATTATTATTATTATTTTTATTAAGTCATTTCCAACTCCTGGCGACCATATGAATAGTTTTTCTCCAGAATATCCTGTCTTTTGTTTGGGTCTTTAAGGCCTTTAAACGTCTTGCTCACGATTCCTTTGATTGCATCCATCCATCTTGTCGCTGGTCGTCCTCTTCCTCTTTTACCTTCAACTGCTCCAAGCATAATGGTCTTTTCCAGTGAACTGGCTCTTCTCAGAATTCAGTTTGGTTATCTGGGCTTTGAGTGAGAGGTGAGGCTTGATTTGTTCGAGGATCCATTTGTTTGTTTTCTTTGCTGTCCAAGGTAGAATTTTTCACCAACACCAAAGTTCAAGGGCATCAATATTTTCCTGTTTTGCTTGTTTATTGTCCTGCTTTCACCCCCATAGATGAACCACAGATAAGAGCACAGCCTTGGTAGTTCTGATCTTTGTTTGTAGAGACAAATCGCTGCATTTGAAGATCTTTTGAAGTTCCTTCATTCTTGTTCTGCCAATCTGTGTTGTGTATCTTATGCTGGATGTTCTGTTGTTAATGATTGATCAGAGCAGGCAAAAGCTTACTCGGTTTACCATTTCACATCAATGGTAAAGTTAGCAGTCTTTCCTGTTGTTATAGCCTTAGTGTTTCTCATGTTGAGCTGATGTCCCATCATCACTGAGTCCTTTAACCTTCTTTAAAAGGGTCTTCAGGTCTTCTAACTTTTCTGCTATGAGCGTTGTATCATGTGCATATCGAAGGTTATTGATGTTTCCTCCACCAATCCTGAATCCTCAATCATCTTCCTCCAGTTTTGCTACTCTCATTGTATGTTCTGCATACAGGTTGAGCAGGTATGGTGGTAGTGGACAGCCTTGGTCAACAGAGTTAAAGGCTTAGCTGTACTCAATGAAACACATGTTGACCTCCTTCTTGAACTCCTTGGCTTTTTCAATAATCCAGCGTACAACAGTGATGATATCTCTTGTTCCTCTGCCTTTCCTGAACCCTGCTTACACATCTGGCTGCTCTCCTTCGATGTACGGCACTAGTCTGAATGGTCTTGACCATAATTTTACTAAAATGTGATTGGAGTGAAATGTGTGACTCTTTCTTGTCTCCTTTCTTTGTAATTGACATATAAACAGAGCTCTATATGTAAAATTACTTATTCACCCTTTAACCCTGAAGGCTGGCACACAGACTGCTGGTCACCATAGCAACAGAGATAACAGTCTCATCTAGTAGCTAACGAAAAGGCAAAGAGAGAAATTTAAGACAAACATGGATAATTTGGAGATGAATGGACTTATTTGCATGTATAATCACTCCAGCTGGTTTCCTGATACGTTTAATCTGCAACAACAAACTGTCAAAAACTGTAAACAGTCACCAAGCTGAAGTCAGTTTCTCGTTCGCCAGCTTCTTGTTCATTTTTTTTTCCCATTCCACCTTAAATGGTGCTTATTTTTTTCCATTCCACCTTAAATGGTGCAACAGTTAGCTACGTAGTTAGCCACATTTACATTTAAAGTGGAACGGGAAAATTCGAACAAGAAGCTGGCGAAAGAAAAGCTGACTTCATCCTTGTGAAAAGTCGAACGTTGAGAGACGTTTTACAATAAACCATTTCACTTTTGAGTAAAAGTTTCCTGCTGGAGTTGTGAGAAAAGCAGTTATAGCTGAGCTAAAACAAAGCAGAGCATCTGCGTTTATTTTTAGCCTATACTAGGACATTCGCACATACTGAGACACACTTACAGCCATGATGGTGAAACGTTACTTCAACAAAATGGACGTGAAATGTTGTGGCTCCCAAGGTGGTTCGATTTTTGTTGAAACTTGACAGAATTGCTCTTCTTAACATTTGGGTTGCCGAACCCTGGGTTAGCCAAACCTGGTGTTGGATATTAACCACGAATAATACTGAGCTTCCTCAAGAAGAGGTATGAAAATGGTTAATCAAAAACATTGATACACATAAAAATCACTACTTATGTATTAATATTATTTGTATTTATTTTAATATGAATGTTTTAGTTCTTGTTAACTAGATACATGGCTTTTTTTCACCTCTGCACAGTATTTGTGTATATTTATTAGAGCATGTCTGAAAATTAAGGCTATGTTTCACTAACTGCATTGGATATGTTAATGTTGCAGATCGCGGTACAGTGAGCAGGGGCTTCTCCAGCGATCCACTGCATGATGGCTTCAGCGGCTGCTCCTCTTCCAGACCCTGCAGCCGCTTTAAAGAGGAGCCGTATGATCATCACTCTCTGGGCCAGGGCAGGCCAGAGAGCCGCCTCCACGCCCCTATACAGAGCGGTGCAGAAGCTAGGAAACTGCAGCTCCTTCGGGACAGCAAAGACCCAGCAGAGAGGGGCGAGATGTCCGTCCCGTGTCCACTTCTGGCAGGAGGAATGCTGGGCAAGAGTAATTGCGAGCAGCCTCGGATGTCCCAAGGCCTCAGCCAGCATCTCCCCATGCAGATGGTCCTAGAGCAAAGACGCAGGCTTCGCTCAGCCGAGGCGCCATTTGAACCCCAATCGGGACACCTTGGGCACTGCGACAGCAACGGAGAGCGCAGAGTGGCCAGGGGGGAAGAGAGGAGGGTACTGATGGGAATGGGCCTCCAAGCACAGTCTCCCTTCGTCTCTCTGAACTTTCACCACGTCCTGGCCAAGCACGGCTCCTTCCCGGCCACGCCCTACTCACTGAGTCACCTGACGGACAGCTACGGTTACAGAGGGGAGGAGCTACACCCCTACTTGTACCGAGGCCAAAGCCCGGCCTCCAGCCCCTCCCCCGAAAGCCACAGCGAGATACCACACTACATCGGCACCTCGGTCATCATCAGCAATGAGAGGTGACAAAGCTCAGAGGTCGGGTACTGAGGACGCTGAGGCCCTACTCACTATGTAGCGCACTATTTTGGGGGTCTGTTGTTTTGTAATGGTGTCCAAAAATAAATAATAGGGGCAAAATTTTGATCCCACAATGCCCCACAAAAGGTAGTCTACAAACAGTGTACCCCATTGGACACAAAATACCCATAATGCACTGTGTTGTTTGGTTTGGTCAGAGGAGGCTAGCGGTTCAGCTCACATAATGCTACAGTAGCACTGAGGGAATGCCATAGAGTCATAAGGAAACTTGTATAACGTTAATATACAAATTTGTATACTTGAATCAAATCTGGTTCCCTGTATTGTTCTAGCGTGCTCCTGATTTCCAGTGTAGGGAACAGTGATCAAGTATTGATTTTGAACACAGTGTAAGACAAAGCAATTGATGAGTGTGAACCTCCTCGATGCTTCAGTGCGTCAGACATAGACACAGCTGCAGCCAATGCCAGCCTCCATGTGGAGCAGCACACAACTTCAGGTACTGAGTATATTCTATTTTTGCAAGAAACTTAGCCAATAGCAAGTGTTCAGTAAGACAGCAAAGAGTGATTTTAGTCACAATGCTGGGAACTGGTGTGATATCCAACAGCCATCCAGGGATTTCCCTCTGAATGTCCTCATATTTGCTGCCATCCTGAACAGTTTGTGTTGATGAGATGGTGAATATGCAAGAACAGATGTCCTGACATCCTGCCACCCATACCTTCGAATTCAATAAAACAACACTGAGATCCTGATATTGTATAAGTGAATGTCACAGCCCCCAGTACAAGGACATTCCCAAGGGTTTTACTTACTAAAAAGCTGTATGATGGCCCAAAGGTTTCAGCAGCACTTCAGCTGTTGTAAAGGAAAGCAAGCTGAAATAAAACCTTACATGTCAATTGTTGCTGTTTTGCATAATTTAGAAATGTCACCTGCCTTTTACACTGTGTCAAAACTTTATGAAGAAGTGACCAATAGAAATGATCCAAAATGACATATAATAAAATTGTTTTACATTAATTTGCATTGAAATTTCCAAACCTTTTTTTCGTTATACTGTAAAGTTACTTTTTAGGAGATACAAGGTTTTGTTCCGATTTGATACTGAGCTCCTAAAGTGCCACTGTGAAATAAATACTGCAACGACACTGCATTCCCAACTTTTTGTGTTCCATTGTAGTAGTTTTGCAGTCCCTCGCAAAAGTTTGGTGTGCAAAATCCGTTGTATTTGCAAGGGAAGGGAAGGTTATTGTGAGGGAACACAAAATCATTATGAAGCAGTGTAAAATTGTGTGAGCGAGCTCTAAATTATTGAGAGGGAATGCAAAATGATTGCAAGAGAACGCAATGCCATTTTTTTAAAACCATGGCCCCTTAGAGGCTCTGTAAAAAAAATGGAACAAACTATCACAACAGGAATATAAGGTTTATTAATGGTCATCTGCTATGGAGCCAATTTCCCAGGTGCTGCCCCAAGTTCTCTGTTGCCTAACAACAGTACAGCACCACGCTTAAACAAAATATCCATTATACCAAAATGCAAAGAAATAACGACTGTATTTATTCCTCACGCACAATACATTTCACTTATTTATGAGGCAAAACGAAGAGTGTAAATTACAAAAAATGACACCAAATTACATTAATATGATAAGAAAGTATTTTGCTTTGAATCTGAATAAAAATGAGAAATGACACTCTGTCTTGGTCGATGTTTGCCTGTTTATTTGTGCCAATTGCCTCATTATTATTCTGTCCAGCTTTCTGCTCCAAGTTATTTCCAACAGGGACTAAATGAAGATCAGAAAAATTTAAACTGCCATTCCAGCCTAAAACCTGAGTTTAATATGTATTTGCCAGGCTATGCAATATCCCGTAGCACAGAATGATGTCCCTTATCCTCATGGGTTCGACAGAATTCATGTTTTCCTTCATCAATATTCTCTCACTATGCTCACTCGGCATGCATTATATTGACTGCTAGCCTAGCCACTGATCTACAGGGTAATATATACAGCCAAGCTGGCGTTAGTGTAACTCTAACCTCAGCTGTAGAAACAAAATCAAAAGAAATCAGTGATTCCATCGCAATGCTGGATGCCAAAGACGAGTTTTTACCCTTTCAGCCAGAGAAAATAAGTCAAACTGATATGAGATTTCCAGATAGCCAGCTACCTTGCTAACTCTCCTTTGACATGATGATTTGAAGACAGATACAACAGTTACCTTGCTGAATTACAATACTTGGCTTCCTAGCTAGGTATTTGCCTTCTGTCTGTGTTCATTTCGTCTGTCTGCATTGCAAACAGCCCACCCCAAAACAGCCTGCCCCCATTATCCATTCCAAAGCAGCTGTAGCCTTCCAAAAGTTCTTCCCAGCTTCAAGACACATCATCAGAAGGTTTCCTAGTCTTTAAACCAGAAAATTGCACAGTAGAGCAACTATGGGATGCAAGTAGTGATGGCTAAATTCTTCATTTGGCTGGAGCGCCCCTTTTGAGGTGCAGTGTGTAAAGGTGTAGTGATTTAGTGGCATCTATTAGGAGTAATGGAGTTCTCCCCATGTCTGTGTGGGTTTCCTCTGGGTGCTCCATTTTCCTCCCACAGTCCAAAGACATGCAGTCAGGCAAATCGGAGATGCTAAATTGCCCCTAGGTGTGGATGTGTGTGAATATGTATATGTCTGTGTGTCTGCCCTGTGATGGACCAGCGACCGGTACAGGGTATTTTCTTCCGTCCAATGACCACTGGGATTATTCTGGCACCCAGGGGAATAAGCGGCTTAGATAATGTGTGTGTGTGTGTGTGTGGGTGTGTGTGTGTGTGTGTGTGTATTATTAGCAGAAATGGAACATATTACACAAACTCATGTACTCATTAGTGTATAATCACTAATGCTATAAATACTACAAATCATTAGCTTAAAATGAGCCTTTCATATCTACATAGGAAGCAGGTCTTTCTCCAACAGAGGCCGCCATGTTGCACCACCATGTTTCTACAGTAGCCCAGAATGGACAAATCAAACAATGGCTCTAGGGAGTGCCTTTCGTGTTTTTATGTTGAGCAACTTAAATTTGGTGGCTCTATAGCTCCGGTTGGAGGATGCGGAAAGAAGAAGGATCAGTGGCGGCTGCCAGTGCTGGCTAACTATTTCGGGATGTAAGAAGTTTGAGAAGCCAAATTTTGACAAATGGAGGATCATACTTATCATTCAGCAAGGGAGGGTGAACCCCCGTCACCAAAATGTGAAGAAGCACAATGAAATCAAAGCAGGTGATGGTAGAAAACAAGGGTAAACATTGGGGTGGCCTATCCCAGATGGAAATCTCCAATGATGGACAAATGTTTTGGAGTGATGCTGAAGTTACCTGTTTTCTGCTGGACAGGTAATTTAGCGTACCAGTCTACCTGACGGCCCCCGCAGGTTCCACCACACCAGGGGTGTCTAATCTTATTCGCGAAGGGCCGGTGTGGCTGCAGGTTTTCACTCCAAACAAGCTGGAGCACACCTGACTCCATGTGTTGGTGTAGTCTTCAAACATTTCATCAGGTGATCTCCTGCTTTGCTGGAGTGAAAACCTGCAGCCACTCCGGCTCTTTGTGGTACTACACGCTTGAAAAGGGAGGGGTGCAGAAAGGGGTATTCAGTCTCCTCCCTGCTAGATGCCACTAAATCTTACACACAGCACCTTTAAAGCATGACTGACATTCATCTGTTCTGCAGCGCACTCTTAATAATAGGGTAACCATAACAGTTTCTTTTGAGCCATAGAAGAACAATTTCTATTCCCTAAAAAACCTTTCAATGAAAGATTTTTTTAAAGAACACTTTTTCTTAAGTTTTTCTTAAATTTGTTCTTGAGAAAGGTCCTAAGAAAAAGTCTACATCAGATTCATAAAACGCAGAATTGTTTACACCTTTGTGCTCTTGAGTGTGTGTAGATTCTGTTCTTACCTGAGAACAAATCCCAAACAAGAAAACATCGGAAAATGTCAGAATTTTCGTGAAAACCGCGTAAGTTGGTTTTAAGAAGACATTTTTTCTTAAGAACGGTTGGTGAGTGAGGCCCAATGTTAATAAATAAGACGTGAACATTTTGCAAGTTTTCCACATAATGCAGTGATTCTGTACCGGTCTTATGTTTTTCTATGAACCATACAAACCAAAAACCATTTAGGAACCTTTATCTTTAAAAGTGCAAATACGGCCCCTAGAAGCATGTGGATATCATAAGCGGCTGCTGCTGGTGCTGAGATCAGTTTGATCCTCTGTTATTGAAGCGCAGAGACCCGTTAAATTAAAGCTATCAGCTTCTCCTTCAGCTGTGTCATCAGCATATTTCTCCTATTTGTGCTTTTATTAACCCTCCATAAAATCCCGAGTGCAGAGAGCCTTTATAGGGACACTCCACTGTTATTTGTTTATGAAAGCTGGAGCATTTTTTTTATGTGTATTTTTGTTTTTGCCTTTAGAAAATACACTTCAAATGCACTTCAAGGTGAGCCAGAGGCCCTGGCAGTGGTCTCCGGGGGGATCAGATTGAGATGTGATATTATGCAGCCAATATTAAAGAGGATAGATCCCTGTTGACCCTCAGGGCCCCCTTGGTGAAATTGTTTAATAGGATATTGAGGAAGTGGCATTTATGGATCTGAGTGAAGCTATTTGCTTAATGAACTTTAAAACTGGACCGGATGAAACGGGGCTCATGTGGAGCGCTGAGGGTGTGATTTACGCGTTTACACTCCAGGATGTGCTCCTTTATCCTTCATACACCACCTCTTGAATGTTTAGGGAAACCTAGCTTTATAAAATGATCTTCAAAAATGAGCATGTTTGTCAGCTTCACTTATTATATCAGCCCTCGTGTGGTGTTGGGGTCTGTGGGACCCATTTTCATTGTTTACCAAAAGAAAAAATGCTGTGATTTATTATTATTTTAACATCGGATTCTTGGCCTTTGCTCATTTTCTGTAAAGAACATATAAAATAACCCATTTTCAGTGTCTTCACTCTGTTCACCCCCTAAACATTTATATTACACATGTGGTGTTGGGTGAACCTGCGAGGAATAAAAGTGTGGAGGTGCTGTGGCCTTCACTCTGTTCTCCTCCTACATGGCCTGCTGTTAGTGTGTGTATGTGTGTGTGTGTGTGTGTGGACAACATGGACAGGCTGCTGACTGGCTACAGCTGCTAAAGGAGAACCCTACGCTGGCCACTTGTGATAATTTAAACATCTGGCTTTTTTACATAAATTGTTTTGGCTGTATTGATTTAAAAAAAAAACAATAATATGGCGGGTCCTGCAGACCACTGTGTAACAAAAACCAACATCAACACCACACAAGGGCTAAAGGCCCCACATCCTATGTTATTATTTTATTTTTTTCTCTGAGGCTCATTTGTGTGGGTCACTGTGTAGATCAAAAAAGTCTTAATTCATTTTCACATTACCATTTTTCAAACATCTCTTTATCCCTTTATGCCTAAAACAGGCTGTTATTATTACTGTCACTTTAAGACCAATATATGCAGTGGCCTCTACTCTGATTTATGTATTGGCACTGGTTCTTTTGACAACATAAGTGGGCTGTTTTACAGCTTAGTTTCCATTTATGGACTGTATGGACTGATTGGTAGATTAACAATATTGAACAAAACGTACATACATCATCAGTATGTAACTCAATAAATACCCTTAATTTATTTAATTGCCAGTCAAAACAGCCTTTAAGTACAAGCAGTTAATTTTTGAGTGTCAGAAAAAAAAAAACCTAGAAAACATACATTCAACAGAAAACGACACAGAAGCCTCAACAACTAATTATAATTGAATTTTTTTCAGTATTTAGTGTGTCCACACTTTGCCTTTGTTAAAACCTTTATCCTTTTCAGGAGACTTGCTTTCAGTTTTTCAAAGAAATCTGCAGAGATAATTTTCCACACCTCTGAAGTTCAGTCTTAGAAGTTGGTTGCATTTCCTGCTTCTCATGATCCAAACACATTCAGCGATGTTAAGGTCTGGACTCTGGGGTGTCCGGTTTATTGCTCTGAGAACACCAGCCATGTTTTCGTGTTGTCTCTTCTCTTTCTGTTTTCTCTCTTTTTCAGATCTAAAACAAGAGTGGAGCTTTCATCTCTCAAAGATGAAAGCTGTGAGTATCTGAAGGTGACAGTTTTGGTGGTCTACCTGGTCTTGCATGGTTGTTGGGAGTCCCATTTTTTTTCTTAAATTAGTAATTTAATCCTTTATTTCTTTGACTTTCCCCTCCTTATGCAAGGAAGCATCTTATATCTAACTTCCTCAGAAATCTCTTCTGAAGAATGAGTGATATGTGCTTAATGGCCTATTTAACTGAAAATGACACATTTAGGGTGGTCTCTGACTTTTGAACAGTATTGTGTAAAGTACATACAAGTCTACCTTTGTGCTGAAACAACTAAACAGCATCTGGAGGAAAACTGGAGTTTGTGTTATTACTGGAGTGCTCTCCTTGGACAGCGTGCTCTGTGTGAGTGTGTATTTGAGAATGTGGGATTGAGTGAATGGGTTTGTAATGAGGTGAAGGATCTCAGACAGTTTAGTGGAGCTCTCAGGAACATTTTCACCTCATCACAGCCAGGGAGGGCTCACGCACAGGAGGCGCTAAAGACAGATGAGGTGATCTTTAACAGGCCAGGATGAGCCCAGCCGAGCCAAAGAAACCTAACCTCGTCCTCCTCCACACACACTTGCACAGCCCACCTGCATTAGTGTGTCCTCCCGCACACCTCATCATCTCCAGTCAGGCTGAAAGAAACAAAGGGGAGGATGAAGGGTGAGCATTGGGATGCTGTAGCCACGCTGAAATATGGAGCTGGATGTCCACATCTTGGCCCGCTGAGCTGGAAGTTACAGTAATCGCAAAGTGGGGGGGAAATTATTTATTCCTCTCCCTTACTTCTCTTTTCGAATAGTCTTTATGCACAAACATATTAGAAGTGGAGGGGTAGTTTGTAGGTGTAGGTGGTGCCATAGTAACTCTACTCTACTGATCACTTGCAATATTTGGAGAAAGTCCAGCCTCCCATAGTTACTGTTGCTATGGCCATCAATATTTCAGCTCAGACTATCTGGTAACATCTGCAACACTAAGGCCCAACTCCATTTCTTCTTTTTACCCCTACCCCTTGTTTTCGAGTGTCACCCTAACCACTTGGAACTGAGTTACAAGGGGTGGTGGTTCAAATCTTCCCCTATGAAATGGGACCCTCAAATAAAACCTTTCTTCATTAACAGCTACTAGCGCTGCTCTGTAGGCGACTCGGCCCATCTTCACTGACAGCAGAGGAGGGTAAAATTCAGCTCCTCACTGCTAAGTTACATTTAGGCCATCATATGCCTTCAAAGAGGGGGGCAATTATTTATTATCACCCACCCCTAATTCTTCAGTGATATGAAGCTGAAGTCAGATATTCACCAGCTTCTTGATCGAATTTTTCCGTTCCATCGTAAATGGTGCAGCAGTTACATTCTGACACTTCAGAACTGCAGGACTATTTAAGGTGGAACGGGAAAGTTAGCTAGCTAGTTACCGAGACATTAGCGTGCAATTTGTGATTTTTATGCTTGTTATGAAGGAAACGACCATAATACACTGAAACGACATTAAATTAAGACAATACAATGGTTATCGTAATTTTTAATGGAGAAAATTCTCACATTTGTGGATTTCTTTGGTCTCTTGTTCAGCCATCTTGACGGTTTTTCTTTTTTCTCATAACTCTCTGATTGGAGGGTCTGAAAAACCTCCGTTTGGAGGGCCATGTAGCCCTAACACTTCACCCTACCCCTCTATCTCAACAAAAAGTGGGACACCCTACCCGTAGACGTGAATGCGCAAAACAGGGGGCTGAGGGCTAAGTGGTAGGGGCGAGGGGTGAAATGGGATTGGGCCTTATACTTCAGTAATAAAAGTTTAGTAGCACATAGAAAAATTAAGCAGCACACAGAGTTTATAAAACTAAACTGTCTTTACAAGACTGCAGACATGCATGTTTAGGAACTTACAGAATAAGTAAGTTCCCAGAGGAAAGAACTATTCTAAATGAACTCTCCTCTTGATCTCAGGTACTTCTCCTAGACGTGGTTAAGTCCAGTTTGAAATCAGAGTGGGACTTCTCTCCTGTTTCTGAAATTTGGCTCCTGAGAAATAAAACTCATTTTTCTCACTTTGTTAACAATATTGTCAAACATGTGGCTTAACTCTACCGTCTGACTCGTCTCACCCCAGTCTCACCTGAATAATATCCTCATAAGAAAAGTCTCACCATTTTCTGTCATGCAAAAGGAGAACTCACGCTTTTCTCCTTCATCACCAGAACGTCTCACAGTGAAATGCTGATGTTAATCTTCTCTTTCCTCCTCAGGGGGTTTAGGAGAAACAATTCAGAGATTCAGTGATCATTCATTAATATAATATTGAGATCTGCTTTATTTCTCTGGGACAATCTTAAGACAGATTTTTTTTTCCTCTGGGTTGTTATATATTAAATATATACTGTAATAAAATATTTCTGGAAACATATTTACATTCATCAAATGAGGGAAATCATTTAGTACCTCAATTAAAACATCTGGTTTCTATGGAACCCCACTGGTGACATCCTGTATAAAGAAAACTAATGTGTGGCTACGACTTAGTAAGGCATGGGAATGAGATGATTAAGTCGTGGCCACCACGTAGTAAGATGTGGGAACGAGATCCTAATGCATGGCCACGACTTAGTAAGCCGTGATCTTGTTCCCACGCCTTACTAAGCCATGGCCACGCATTAGGATCTCGTTCTCACACCTTACTACATGGTGACCATTGATATTTATCTTTACACACACTGTACAGTCAGATAAATTGATTTAAAATGATTTATTTTAGTAAATTCAGTAACCCAGACAAAGTTGAGCTTACCTTAAATCAGCACCACCCTCCAGTGGATCCGGTCTTTCAATGAAAAATTCCTCAGTAACATCTTTTTCACGTCCTAGCATAAATATTCTGATTTACCATTCTCACTGCAGGTTCGCTTCTGTGAGCTTTTCCTTCTTGACGAGAGAACTTTTAGAAATGATTGTGATTGGCTGAGAGGGTCAAGCATAATGATTGTGATTGGCTGAGTGGGGTGTCAATCAAACAGTCAATTACTCCTAGTACAAGGGAAGATTCAGTCAGTACTTTTTTATTTGAATTTAAAGCCACTCTATGTAACACTGGGACGACATAGAGAATAAATAATTAACATCTGTATACAAACTGTTAATTATTACAAAATATGAAGTCATTTCTTATGTTTTTATGCTGATGTGAGAACCAAAATATATAAATCACCTTGAAAAAATAATCGTTAATGCAGACACACCAACTATAGCCTCAGTTCAGATCTATAAAGGGTACGCATGCTCGTGTGAAGTTACAAACTGCAGTCGAATAATCACAAACTATCGACACTTTACAGATTAAATATAAGGCTTAAAGTAAAACACTGTAGTCTATTGTTTTTGATACTTTAAAAAACCCTGTATTAGGACACAGTATAACAAGACTTACATTACTTATGTGCTCTGCTGCAACCTTACAGAAACATTTACAGACATATTATAAAATAAAGGTCCCAAATAAATTCTAAGTCTGTCCAGTAGAACCATCATTATGAGTAGTTCTTTATTGCTGCTCTATTTTTTGTCAAAGTAGGATGTCTGCAGCAACAAGCACGACTAAATGGAGGCGGACTTCGTATGCTTTTGCAAGTTTTTCAGAGCAAACATGCACTTTCGGATCACCATGTATTGCAGCATGCTGGTATAGACAGTCTTGCAAATTGTTTTTAAAAAGCTGTACTTTTTATGATGAACATAAGTGGTTATTCAGTCAAATGTCATATTTGTAGCCTAAGGAATTAAAGCAAAGCAAAAAAATGTGTTAAGTGCTGAACTCAGGATGATCTTATTCTCTGCACAAATCTGTCAACAGATCAGCCCACCCACTACGCAAGTTTACTAGACGTATGTGCATGTTAAGCGATAATGTAATAGAAATTCCTTAAATCCAAGTTCAAGTATGTAAGAAGTGAGATTTGCTAAACAAAAATGACAACATAAAAGCTTATAAACAAATCCAACAGCATAAGCTTAACTATAATCCATTCCTAATCTCTCAAACAAAATCTGAATTCACCATCAATTAATCTCAACACTGTGAAATTCCCCAAAGGCAGAAAGCAAAGCACATCTTGAGCAACTGTAGGCTACAAATCTTTCAGAAGTCTGCAAAAAAGGTGCTACAAAGTTCTTAGAAAGCCCAGGACTCAATCAAAAGTCCTTTCATTAAACAAAACAAAGAAATAAGCTGAGTTTTGGAAAGCAAAATCTAGACATAACTGTTAAATGCAGGGCAGAACCAACTGTTGAGTTCTCAGAGAAGATCTCTGTAACTTTCCTGATCTTCTTAAGTGTTTAAATGTTCCCTGTATATCATCACAGTCATAACAAAACCTTGTATCTCCAAAAAATGGTAACTAGACAGGAAAAGCAAAGAAAACTTACATTACTAGCATTATTAATGTACAGTAATTGTATCAGATTATATGCAAAGTGATGTTGGACCATTTTTACTGGTGCATTCGTCATGAAACGGTCACTCAATGTAAAGGGCAGCTGGTCTTTTCAAGTGGTGGAAAAATGAAAAACAAATAACCAAAAAAGTAGTTATGAGGTTTTGATATGACATCGGATGTAGCTGCGCTAAGTCTGTGCTGTCATCTTCATGTCGAGAGTCTAGTTGTGCTTGGTGACGATGAGGTTCCTCAGCATGTCAAAAGAGTTTCCGTCCGGCTGGACTGAGACGAGACCCTGCTCGCGAGAGCGCACTTGCAGGAAGCCATGATCATCCAGCCCGACAACTTCAGCCTCTGGACCATCCTCACTCCACAAGCGCACCTGCGTGCCACTGCAAACATCACACCACGTTAACACACACGCAGACACTAACGCTCACAAATACGTTACACATAATGCGAAACCACCTAATTATTCATCTTAACTCTTGGGTATCTACTTCAGGATGACAAATTATGCTAAACTGGATCAGCAAAGTACAGCCTGACTCAGTCAGGTAAGATGGTAAAGTTACTAGGCATGGGCGGGGTTTATTTGAGCAGGGGGCGGGGTTATTTCTATGGACTTCTGAATTCATTTTAGTAATACATTTTCTAATTGAATATTCAAATAAGTAGTTTGGGTTAATGTGAAAATTGCACGTTACCTTGTTAGATGTAAGTAAATTTAAGTCTTTTTGTTTGACTGAGCATGCAATGTATAATATGTGGACAGTATAATATATATATATATATATATATATATATATATATATATATATATATATATAAGCAGTGCACTATTTAATTTAATGTTCATGCATTAATTATGAAAAATGAAAATGATTATTTAATTTTAAGTTATAATTCAGCAGCCACAGCATATAGTAGCCTTTAAATATACACAGTCGTATGCAAAAGTTTTGGCACCTTTAGTCAAATGACATTTTTATTTTTCTAAGTGAAAATAAGCAAACATACTTTACAGAAAACACACTTCTGCACATTTTAAAGGACAATTACTGTTACTGTAGGTTAATTTAACATATTGAGGGGAAAAAAAAAAACATAAAATGTGGCCGGTGCAAAAATTATGGCATGTTTTATATTTTACGTTTTTATATTTAAGTGTTTCTGTAGATGATGTGTTTATTCATTTTCACTTAAAAATATCAACATAATTTGATCAGAGGTGCTCAAACTTTTGCACATGACTGAACATCTTTAAGACTGTTGGAAAGAAATGCAAATGGTTCCTAACAAAGCTGCTTATGGGAACGTCAATAGTGTGTAAAGCTGACAACAAGCCGAAAATGATACTTCCAATAATTTAAAATATAACTGAGAATTTTTGTATGGTCTCATTAATGTAATTCCGCATGTGTTATTTCACTTGATGTCTTCAGTCTTATTCTAAATTCAGTACAACAAGCTTGTAGAGTGTACATAATACAAAAGCACAGTTCTGAGAGGTTAATAGTGAACTCACCCGTGTACCCATCTCTTGTAGTAGAGGGGCAGTACAGCCTGAGGCCCCTGCTGCTGGAACTGGGAGATGAGCTGCTCCAGCAGAGTGACCGAGCGAGCGATGAGCTGAGCCGAGCTCAGGGGCTTCAGACTGCCACCCCGCTCCCAGTTCTGTTGCACCACCAGGTCATTTATGCAGATGGTGGGGTTACTGTTGCTCACATTTAATCCACAACCTACAGGACAGGACAGAGAAAGAGGGACAGGAGAGGAGTTACTGCTAATTTAACAACCCTGTTCACAAGAAACACCAGTCGACCAAAAAGACCCTGAAGGGTTGTTTTGATTTTGAATGATGTAGAGGCAGAGAAGAGCATTACCAATGAGGAGATGGAAGGTGGATCCCATTACAGTCGAGTTGACTAGCACTCCTCCGAGCTTCATCAGGTTACCGTAGTAAATATCATTGGGCCATTTCACTCTCAGGTCAATGTCCTAAAGAAAAAAATTCACACATGCTTACATTAAAACTAAAGCAACTCCTGTGATTGCTCCATTTGAACACACTGTTGCTACATACACCGATCAGGCATAACATTATTCTTCAGTGGTCAGGACCCCCATGGACCCTCACAGAGCAGGTACTATTTGGGTGGTGGATCATTCTCAGCACCGCAGTAACACTGACGTGGAGGTGGTGTGTGAGTGGACACAGTGTTTAAAAACTCCAGCAGCACTGCTGTGTCTGATCCACTTAGACCAGCGCAACACTCACTAACACACCACCACGTCAGTGTCACTGTAGTGCTGAGAATGATCCACCACCCAAATAGTACCTGCTCTGTGAGGGTCCATGGGGGTCCTGACCACTGAAGAACAGGGTAACAGGGGGCTAACAAAGTATGCAGAGAAACAGATGGACTACAGTCTGTAACTGTAGAACTACAAAGGGCACCTATATAGTAAGTGGAGCTGATAAAATGGACAATGAGCGTAGAAATGAGGAGGTGGTCAATGTTATGCCTGATCGGTGTAAATACGTATGTGTAGCAACGCTGTTCCACATTGGATTGGTTGGGCTGCATGATCTCAACATCCACACAAACAGTACTGTGCTTAAGTCAGAGACCTTCATTTATTTCATTTCCAATCAAAACGGCTATTAAGTACAAGTGCTCATTTTTGTGTTTTGGGACAAGCAGAAAATGTACCACATATTTAATGTAAAATTACATAGAAGCCTCAACAAAATATAAATTTTTTTGCAATCTAGTGTTTACATTCTTTGCTTTTATTACAGCTTCCATTATTTTATTAAATTTACAGGGACATTTTTCCAACACCTCCAAAGTTCAGTCTTAGAAGTTGGTTGCTTTTTCTGCTTCTCACAATCCAAGTATTACCAAACACATTCAATGACGTTGAGGTCTGGACTCAATTGGTGGTCAGCCCATTTTTATGAAATCACCATCAGCTTTTTTTTTTTGTTTGATCTGCAACTTTTCTTCCTTCTTTGTCTATTTCCATTTCTTAGTAACGGCTTCTTGGCCGCTTGACTAGTATTACTTTTACTTCTTACTGGAGCTCAGGAAGCATCTTTGCACTTTTAATACCATCACTAATCAGTGAAAAATAAGAAATGCCTCAGCAAATCAGTGATTTTCTAACTTATCCTACATGAACATAACATTAGCAATTACTTTAACAAACAGAGCCGACAAACAGGTTTTTTTATGGGCGTCTCGTGTAGAGAGCACTTCTAAAAACACCTGCATATGCATACAGTATCTTTCTTATTTCTGTAATATTAACATCTTAAACAGAAATCGATCTTAGATCTGTTTAGATCTGAAATCTGTTTAGATCTGAAATCTGTTTAGATCGTGCCGTTTGGGAAAGGAAATGTTAACTCAAACACTGCCTGTTATTCCTCCCACATACCACAATACTTCCTGCACCATCGGTGCTCACTCACACAGTCCAATGCAGGATAATGTATGAGAGCTTGCAGAACACGCACACTCCGCACACCCCATACGATACGCTTCAGCAGCACAGCGGCACAAATACATCCGTCACCCGAGCACGGTTCCAATCAAACACGCCGGCGTACACACACACAGCACCTGATTGTATGCAAGTGTGTGTGTGTATGTGTGTGTGGGCCACTGCAAGGTCTCAAACACTGTGCTGTAGTTGACTGTGACATGTCTGATTAGTAAAATAGACAGCAGCACCTGCTTATGAAACCCTGGGGGCCATAGGTTTCATTGTGTATGTGTATGTATATTCCCCTAGCCTGGGCAGTAGTGCTGGGCGATATTAGTATTGCAATAGTTTTGTGGTTAAAAAAATATGTACAATTTACATTGAACGGTGCACAAAACACAACAAGTGAGTAGCCATGTTTACATGCAGCCTAATAATCCATTAACAGTCCGACTAATATCTCAATCAGAACAGAATACGTCCATGTAAACACCACAATCAGAGTAGACTACTCCGATTGAGACCATTCAGAACACAATTTCTGTCTGATTAAATAGAAGAAAAATAACCATGTAAACGTCTGTATCTGATTACATTCCCTATCGGAAAGTTTAAGTCCGTTCTGATAATGTTCGTCGCGTCATAGTGAAAGTTTATAACGTTCAACATGGCGGAGCAGAAACTGCTCCGCAGAGGAGACGAAGTTTATGCTCTGATCTTCAAAAGACGGCGGTGGGACGGACGTCCAGCTTATGTGTCTCAGAACACGACGTCTTCCTCTCTGCCTTCTTTAATAAGGACATGTGAAGGACGTTTTCCTGAGTCTGACATCATTTTAAAGCAATAAAAAACACAAATGCGCCAACTGATGCTTGTTGTCATGGTAACATCTACACTACGTGCTACTCTACGCATGCGCGTCAATTTGGATCGGATTACTTGTAGTGAGCATGTAAACAGAGATTTTCCATCAGACTGTTGAGTAAAGTGAGCATATAAACACCTCAGTCTTAATCTGTAATCGGAATGTATTCAATCGGATTGGCAAAAATCTTTGCATGTAAACACAGCCAGTGAGTGGCAGTTCTGTGTGTAGAAGTGCACCTTCATAATGAGAGAAGTCACAGGAGAATGGCTAGACCTGTTCTACCTGGAAGGAGGACTATAGTAACTCAGTTACCACTCTTTCCAACAGCGGTGATCAGAAAAAGCACCTCTGCATGCACAACACGTCAAACCTTGAGGTGGATGGGCTACAACAGCAGGAGACCACATCAGGCTCCACTCCTGTCAGCCAAGAACAGGAATCTGAAACTGGCTCACTAAAAAACTGTTGCTTGGTCTGATGAATCTTGATTTGTGCTGTCACATGAGTGAGAATTTGTTGGTGATGGTGTGTAACAATGTAGGGAATGTTTTCATGGCAGACACTGGACCCCCTAATACCAGTCTAGCATCCTTTGAATGCCATAGCCTTTCTGAGTATCGCTGACCACCCGCACCCCTTTATGGCCACAATTTACCCTTCTTCTAATGATTATTTGATGAGGCATGATTATGCATCTCATCATAAAGCATCTCAGACTGGTTCTGTGAACATGATAATGAGTTCAGTGTACTTAAGTGATCTTCCCAGTCTTTAGATCTGAATCCAATAGAAAATCTTTGGGCTGTGGGAGAATGTGAGATTTTCTGCATGAATGTCCAGCTGAGAAATCTGCAGCACTTACGTGACGCAATCATGTCAGCATGGACCTGAACCTGTAAGGAATGTTTCCAGAACCTTGGTGAATTCATGCCACAAGGACTTTGAGCTGTTCTGAGAGCAATGGGAGGTCCTACCCAGTATTAGAATGGTGTACCTAATAAAGTGGCTGGTGAGTCTAGATATACATTGTTACTATTAACACACAGAAATGTGAAAATATTATGTAATATTTGTCAAGCTGTTTAAAATGAATTTAGACCTAGTAAGCTTCTCTTTCTCAACATGGCCAACTATTGGCTGTTAATGTTTAGCATCAGGTTACTTCTCAAGCATCAGCAATTTTCGATTACGTCACCCAGCTCTACTGGACAGTCGGATAGAGTACCTCGTATCCAGGCAGTGTGCGTACAGCCTCCACCATAGCAAGAGCAGCAAGGTGTTGTAGGAAGGGGATTCTCTGTCCAAGTCGTGAGCTGATGTCCACCTGGAGATGCAGCGTGAACATGGCACAGCCCAGCGGACTCAACCATGCATTTCCCCCACGCCCTGCAATACAGTTAACAAGCTTGTTAAACAGCAATAACACTTGAAACAGACATGCATGGAAATACACCGATCAGGCAAAACATTATGACCACCTCCTTGTTTCTACGCTCATTGTCCATTTTATCAGCTCCACTTACTATATAGGTGCACTTTGTAGTTCTACAGTTACAGACTGTAGTCCATCTGTTTCTCTGCATACTTTGTTAGCCCCCTTTTACCCTGTTCTTCAGTGGTCAGGACCCCCATGGACCCTCACAGAGCAGGTACTATTTGGGTGGTGGATCATTCTCAGCACTGCAGTGACACTGATGTGGTGGTGGTGTGTTAGTGTGTGTTGCGCTGGTCTGAGTGGATCAGACACAGCAGTGCTGCTGGAGTTTTTAAACACCTCAGTGTCACTGTTGGACTGAGAATAGTCCACCAACCAAAAAGATCCAGCCAACAGCGTCTCGTGGGCAGCGTCCTGTGACCACTGATGAAGGACTAGAGGATGACCAACACAAACTGTGCAGCAGCAGATGAGCTACCGTCTCTGACTTTACATCTACAAGGTGGACTGACAAGGTAGGAGTGTCTAATAGAGTGGACAGTGAGTGGACAGTGAGTGGACAAAAAAACTCCAGCAGCACTGCTGTGTCTGATCCACTCAGACCAGTGCAACACACACTAACACACCACCACCACGTCAGTGTTACTGCAGCATGGCACCAGGGGGGTTCAAATCGTTGCACCCCGTTAGCACCACCTGAAAACGCTGATTAGCCTTTTCATAGAAAGTATATACATTTAATTAAACTACCAGTTCATAAATCTTTTCAACTTCCCACAAGATGTGCAGACAGGTGCACAATGTACCTAGGTATACATTTCACTGAGAGCACACAGTGGACTGCTGATACTCTTAATCAAAAGATTGACACCGTAAAATGCTGATTCAGTCTGTCACTAAACATATATATTCAATAATATCATGAGATTGTCACAGGGCTTATTTTTTTCTTATTTTATAAGCCGTTTAAACATGGATCACTTCTTAATCCTTCCGAAAGACAACAAAAAAGGTCAGAACAAACAGCGAAAGTTCCAACTATTCCCACTTTGAGTCGGTTTCTTCAACAGATACAGCACTGCTTCAGTACACGTGAGTTTATTGCCATCGCTTGTTCTTCTTTAGAGCGGCAAGGACCACCTCAACACCACGATAATTGATCACAGGCCCACCCAAAACAGGGACAGAATATTTGTTATGCTGCATTTTTCAAGATGATGAAATTTGGCTTGTTTCATGTGAGTGTCGTCACTGTATTATGGCCAGTCCAATCTTTACACTCTCCACCAAGCTCAGCCCTCCAATCACTGCTTAGCAACCGTTCATCTATCTGCCTTCATCTGCACGCCAATGTTTGAATTTGTAGCTCCAGCTATGGTTGAAGGACGTACCTGGAAGACACATAAAATAGATAGAGCAGAGTATGTCGTTCTCTACCCATCCAAAAACAAATATTCATAACGCTGTTGTCACTAATCTGCGAATTTGGTACGTGCAGTGCTCTTTAACTAGCTACAAACACTAAACATCTATTACACATCATTCAAACAGCAGTCTGGGCTGAAAAACTCCTTACAACTGCTGAAGCCTGAATAGGTAGGTATATGTAAATGTTGGGTTTTTTGTGACATCACAGAAACAATTCATTCAAAACAGGCTGTTTTTGCAGCTTAGTTCTCATATTTGGATTGAATTTTGCCAACGACATCAACAACAACAACAATAAAAACAATAAAAATAATTAATAACTTCATTCATAGAGCACTTTTTATACTGGTGACAGCTCAAAGTACCAAAGCTTAACAGTAACAGAAATGACTGGTTATTAATTACGATGAATTATTAGCATTAAATTAAAAAATATTTTTAAGTTTTCCACAATACGGGCCTTTTAAGGTGATTTTTACTTGCCAAAATTTAGTATCATTTAGTAATGATTTTTTTTGCAGTGCTCTGAAAACCTTTCTCCACCCATGCTTACACTTGCCAGGGATTTTCCTTTTATACTTTGATATGGTTGTGCATTTTCATACTTAGTTGCGTTGTATAAGCATATCTAAAGCCAACCGTTCCAGGCTTCTTTTGCTATTTTCTTTGTTTGACTTCAAAAGTATCTTATATCCTATATTTCCTTTCCAGACGCTGTTTTCCTCCACTTCGTGCATTTTAAAAGTGCAACGAGTAGTTTGTGCATGTTGGCTGTATGTTAATTAATGATCGCTGACCTTTTCCCTTAGTCTGCCGAGCTGCTACGGCAATTAACCCCATGTCCTCTGGCAACTTCAACATCAATCTGTAGAGAGAGGGAGAGAGAAATAATGTAAAATCACATCACATACTGCTGGTCTCGCTACAATATTTGACTAAGAACACAGTTTTCAGTACAGAGTAACATCGGTTTTTCTATCATAAGCCACAAGGAAACAGTGCACAATGCAAAAATCTTCTAAAAATACCAAAAATCAAAAACAGAAAAAAATAAAAATGGTGTTGAGTTGCTTTCACAGCTCCAGGCTGCACACGTCTCTCTCCTTCTCACTCACTCTCACTGACAAGTGAGCTGACAGCTCAGCGCTGCCGGGCTCTCGAGCCGCTGGACTTTAATTGAACTTTGACCCCCATCAGAGGGCTCCTTCCCCATCGCACCCATCAGATAACACCCCCCACCAAAGTAAACAACCGCCCACTTGACCCCATGTCACTCGAGCACACACACTTCCTCAGGCCACACACAGCAAGGTGACACTCAGGTGTCAATCTCGCTCTAATTGCTGAACAAACAGATAATTATTCTGCCAGATGCTGCAATGAGTTTAGACACACGGTCAATACGGGCAGAAAGCCTGCAAGGGCCTCAAGAAGCAGTACAATAACACTGGTTTCAGAAAAATGTATCCACATCATGTATACAGTGCAGTACCTGTTCGTTCTGGGTTAATTTCTATTAAACAATAGCCAGAAGTGTCTCTAGTTAAGACCTGTTTTATGAGTCAGGGATAAATATTAGCCACTATATACAGCTGAGGTGTCAATTAGGGAATCTTTCCTTTTCCTTCTCACTGCAGAACAGTTGCTGTTTTGGAATATGCAATGTCTAACATGGTTTTGGCCTGTTCATGGAAAAGTGGAGCCAAAAATACATTTGAATGAAAGTCAAAAAGTGTTTTGAAACATACATTTAAACATACTCATATATTAAAAGTAAAAAGTAAATGTTTTAAGAAATAAATTTAAAGATTCCTTTGTTCGGTGGTCTGATTCAGAGACTTATCAGTGGTCCTAGGCCTCACATAAAAGCAAATGAACCCCTTAATGTTCTGCTCAACCATTTTGAGTCACTATATATGCCTTGTTGTTTGGTAGACATGAATATTTAAAAAATAGTGGGGTCAAAAAAACAACAACAAAAAAAAACAACAACAAAAAAAAACACCAATTGTTTTTATTATTGTCCCAAACAAATAAAAACACACAAAAAAAAAATCCATTGCTTTTTTCCCGGTGAGCACATTAAAGGGTTAAGATGGGAAGTTTCATTTTACAATGATAAGAACCTGGTTGGATGTTCTAATAAAAAAAAGACTGAAATGTTCAAGAACTCAAGTGACTTGCAAGAGAAAAAGAGAAGAATCTCTTGGTTGTACTTAGAAGTTCTAAATGAAAACGTAAGTTATGTATTAATGTATTAAAGGTGTTTTTTTCTCCTGGAAATTTAATTGAGTAAAAATAGAAAGTGTTCGATTTCAATAATACTAATTACTAATAATAATTACTAATCTCCCAAAGTGATGAACATATTTTTCATGGTCTGCTGTTTTTGCAGTCCCCATCAACCTAAACCTGCCATCATCATGATATTTCAGCTGACAAACACCTGACATACAAACGACTGCAGTTAACAGGCTGCCTTTTTCCTTCATTGTATGCGGCTACTGAAGTACAAGCCTCAAAAGGCGAAATCGGCTGACTGATCCTGGCTTTGACACTAGCTCCCAACTGAGGATAGAAACAGCCTGAGCTCAAATAAACAAACATAACTCAGCACTGCCCTCTAAAGGTATAATAGCACCAGTAAAACATTAAAACTTTTGTTTTCATAAGACCCAACACATCTCAATAAAAGCATTTTTAAAAATGCATATGATTCACATTCTATTTGCTGCAATTGTTTTCTTTTTGTTAGTTTTGTTTTAAACTAAATTTACTTCAATTTAAGGATTTCTCTCATATGTTTAGTGTGAGCTTGAGCTACTTTATCATAATAAAGTCATTTTTCATGGCCTTTACCAGGGGTTTCAGTAATTATGAAGTGGACTGTAGTTCAGCTTCATAGTGTAGCACTAAAGAGGAAACTTAAAGGGCCCATATCCCACATTTTTCTTGTATTTTATTTTTGCCCTTGAATTCCACTTCATGTACCAAAAATAGCCATAATATGTTTTTTACATGACCATTTTCCAACCTCTTCTTACCCCTTAGAATTCAACAGGCTGTTTTGGTTACTGTGCCTTTAAGAAATATATAAGATAAATGATCTCCGTTCTGATTGGCTGTCCTCCATTGTGTCTCACTCAAAAGCAATCAGAACTGAAACACTGCAAAGAGCTTCGGTATGAGTGGGTAGGGCTAAACTGCACTAGCCTGAACAGGTAGACAGATGTAACTTGGTGGCTCTCAAAAGGCTGTTCTTGCAGCATAGTTTCAATATATAGACCGTACTGACTGTGTAGTGAATAGTATTTTTCGAAACTTGCATTACTATAAACTTCTTTATTTCAAAAAAGAAATGGAAATTTGTTTAGGAAACCTTTAATATTACAAACTAAAACTAAACAAACACTGTTACAGTTTCTCATTGGGGTGAATGGGATTTTTGTCAATGTACTGTATGTACAATGTATATACTTTTTACAACTGAAGACATGCTGCAACACACCCAGTAAGAATTCTTTATATCAGTGGTCTCAGAAAGTGTAAGGTCATGCGTCCCCCAGTAGGCAGGTAAATCCTCTGAGGCCATGATATGAAGTTCTAGCAGTGTCAGAAGTTTCTCACCAAAATTTTGGAATCTGACCTCACACACAGAGACTGGCACGGGACGATACAAATAGACAGTAGTTTGGAAATTCAAACAAAGCCAAAAATATGCCTTTTCCTGTAGTTCTTTCAAGGCGTTATGTTGCCACTGTTATGCAGAGGGCTTGTTTTTATTTGTGCAACCTGTAAAAAAGGCACTGATGGACGACGCAAGCAGAATGTCAGCTTTGTCTTGTGCCACAGACCTATCACCAGATAAACTGTATCACATAGTCTCACTTAAAGCACTTGTGTATGTACTACTTTTAAACATACTAACAAATACCAGGGCTGGGCAATATGATAATGAACATTTATCATTATTGTGATGAATTACGTCACAATATTCTCTTTTTGAGCATATCGTGGACACTGTCAGTGCTTGAAAACACTTCGCAACTGCACGTTACAAAAAGAGCATAAATAGTCCTGTTTAACTGGATTTAGTGCATTGTGTGAAATGCTGAACACAAATTATTGTATTCACAGTTTTTGAGAGTATTTTCTGAACACGGCACTATTTTGTCTTTCCAATTTATCAGATGTCAGAAAAATATATCATGACAAACTGTGTTATTGTGAAAATCTGAGTTGTCATGACATTACATCACTGCCATACTGCCACCTCTATGCAGTATGATACAGTTTTAGGCATCTAAGAAAAATAGATTTCAATAGATTAAAAAAAAATATATTTTCTCCGAAAAAAATAATTGAATCAATACAAACAGTATTAATAAAATAAGTAGAGATTTTATGCATGCTAATTTGTTCGCTTAACCATTTTCAGACCTCTCCTCGATGGAAGCCCATTATTTGTAGTTGTCTTCTAACAACTGGTTTGTTGGATCAGTACTTTATTAAACAAAATCAGGTGCTGCTGATGGAATTTAAGAAATCCTAGGATTTCTACTAGGTCTAGGACAAATCCAGAACCAAACTTTTTTCTTCTCCTTAATCTCCTAAGATTAGGTTACCCATTTCTTTTTTTGAAAACAAGACATTTGTTTTACTGCATTAATGTTTTTTAATGTTACTCTAATGTTTTATGCTGTTTGTACATGCATAAACACACTTATTGCCCAGATGCCTGATGTTTTTAGATGCCTACATTTTTGCACGGTACTGTAACTGACGTCGGACAGTCTGCCCCAAAACCGAAATGATATTATCAGTTTGTACAGCTGCTTCTAGAGCCATGAATTCCCTCTTTAATAGACCCAGAATTCTGTCTCTTTCCAGGTTGACTGGATGCTACATGCTCAGGAATCTGGAGGGAATCTTGGTGCAATCTGTCATTTACCGAAAATAAATTTGCACAAGAGCTTAACCGGGGAGAAGCTCAATCTTCTTGGCCAAAGCCCCGGAGGCTGAGACACAGCGCAGTGATTCAGGGCTTTCTGATGCAAAGAGACAGTGTTATACAGAGAGACTTTGAACTGCGCTCCCGTAATCCGCTAAATTCCTAGGCCAAACAGTCGCCGTGAACAGGAGGCTGGGGTGGCAACTCTATTAGAGCAGAGATCTTTATCTGTGTGGAATGTAAAAGGAACACCAGCGGTTGACAGACCTACATTGAGAAGCAACGACGCTGAAACATCAGCTGGCTTGGCAATACGTACAATAAGTACTGCGTGGACTCTTAATTCCACTCTCCTCGCATCAGACCTATGAAAAAAAAGGGCCAGACATACAAAGGAAACAGTCTGGTTTGGAGGGAAAATGATGTTATTGCTTACAGAAACAGTTCGGTAAGGCTTATTTGAATAGCAAAGGAACATTTAACCGCGTCCTTGGAATTATACCTCATATTATTACTTCATTTAGCCGCCATCGTAGACAAATAGGTATCTATGAGAAACACAGATTCTGAAGTGGCTGAGGCAAAAAGGCGCAGGAAACCAAATGCTAATTTGTAGACTCAGGAATTTCTTCCCTCAAACTCCCGCTAATTGAAGTGGACACATTGTAAGAGCCTAACAGCCAAGAAACCGCCATCACGTGCTGCCATCACGAGGAAAAAACAACAAAAACACGAAACGTGGGCGGCAGGAACGTCAAAAAATCCTTGAGCCACTTCTGGCACATGGGCTGATTTCCGAAAAATCCTTTAAATGTTTTTGAATATCAATCGAACAGGAGAGAAACGAAGGTGCGCTAGACTCAGGCCGGCTCATAACCGACCGCTGATGAGGGCCGAGGGAGAACGCTATAAAA